AAAGAGTGTGTGTTCATACGCTTAAGAGTTGAATGGTCTTGCTTTGCTGAATTAATCTCCAAATTCATGTGTGGAGTCAAGGAGACAGTGAAATCTAGCCTTGAGAAGAGGAAAGGGGAATATGACATGGATGGGGAAAGCTGGAGCAGGGCATTATTCAACTCCCACAGTCACGTATCAAATTTAATAGAAAAGTTCGCCAAGTTTATCTTAATATTTAAATGATTACACAGAATATTCTAGCTTTGTTTCCAGTTTATGATGTTAGCAGATACAGTTGACCGGATCAGGCCTTTGCAATTTCAAGTTACTGATTTTACTATGCATTGTACTCACTGAGTTCTTCCTCTTCCTCCTACTACCACTGCAATTGTCAATGTTAAAGACACATCACCTTGTTGGATCAATCTACTACACAAAAACTTAGATTCAAAACAAAACTCAGTTCATATTAAACACATGAAGGAAACACAAAAGAAAAAAAACCCTTACCTCAGGCTTTTTCATGATCTGGATACTGAACATATGGTTTTTCATGGGATAGATAACTATAAGAACATCACCAAATTCTGTTGGAATTATTCCTCTTCTATAATCTCGAGTATGCTCTGACCAGACAATGTGTACTTCATCATTTCCTAAATGTCTTAGCTGGAAAAGCAGGGATAAAACCCCATCAGTTTAAATATATTCTATAGCCATACAGCTGTACTAAGTGCTCATGTTTCAAAAGGACAAACCAACTAAAAAGAAATCAAGAAAAATGAATAGAATAACCAAATTACACTATAGTTCTGTTACAATTTCAATGACAGTATTAGTTCACAGCATTGGTTTGTGCTATACGTTTTTACACATTGGTACCATTGCCTATTTAAATTAACAGATATGTCAATATCTGTTTTCTACTGAAAGCTAAAATTTTGTTCATATTATCTCCAGAACACAGAGTGATTCAGTCTGATTTACTAAAATGATTTCAAGATTGCCATCATTGACAGGCTAAATTCTGTATGAATTTTTCAAGAATATGAATGAACACGTGTTTAAAAGCTATGTATCTGAGCAGTCTTTAACCTCACCATTCTAGCCAAAGTCCAAACTGACTACTACAAACAAAAAGCTTTTAAAGGAGAACAGCTACTGCGTTTTCCATAGCCCCTAGATGAACTAAACTAAATGTTCATTTCCCATGAAACCTGTGTACCCTTGTAAAAATAACACATCCTGCCCTGAGAAAACCCCAAATGGCTCTTGATTTGGCTCAGAACACTTGAACACTTTGGAATTATCTGCACTAAAGCTCCAAAATACTCCTTCTGCTAAACATTACCATCTGATAAATAAATGTTAACATCACAGAGAGAAGCTTTATGTACACTGATCAAATACATTCAGATTATTAAACATGAGTTTCTTTCCAGTAAGGGCTATTTCTGAAAATTCAAGCTGCAATCTCATTTGTACCTCCTTGGGCACCACTAGTTATAACTGACAATTGTCTTTACCCACAATTTTCAGTTTGTTTGCACAGCTTTAGGTAGGTAGAATCTGTCAAACAATTGCCTTGACGTTATTCAAAGGACAGGACTGTGAACCGCTATTAACAGGTAACATGCAGATACTAATCTGAGCACTTAAAAGAAGTATTGTATATAAAAAGGCAACAATTTTTCTGTATTCATTTTCAGAACATAACTGCACTTTAAATAAAAGCAAAACATGTACACAGTTATCAGAGGAATTTCCTTGCAGGTATTCACTTGTTTATATTACAAAACCTCCTGGAATGCTACCTTTGTCTTATATGAAGGCTTATATTGGTTGTCAGCAGCAGGCTTTAAAAAAAAAAAAAAAAGAACGAAAAAAAGAAGCCACCTCTGCTCTTCTCTGCTGGCTTTAAATTGTATCAGACTGAAAAACAGGGTTCTATTTCCACAAGAAAAGGATTTTCTTCAGTGTTGGACTGGGCAAAGGACAGATGGCATCAATACCCTACATCTTGCCCGATGCTCAACAAGTCATTTGTTTTGCCTGGACCAGATCATACATACATCTGATCTACAATGACTGCAGTTCCTTTGAAGCAAGCTGTTCTTGCCTCTTTCGTAGATGGCTGAATTATTTTGAACAACACTTAGTTAGGGATGCTCTTGTGCCAACTGTAAACCCAGCTCAACAAAAGAATTGGTTATAACAACATTCACTATGCTGAGTTTTATTTGACTAGATTAGAACAAAACCAGGCAGCAACCTGAATGACTGATGTGCAACACGCAAACCCCAGCTGCAGAAACCCTGGATGACACTTAGCAGTGATGAACGTCATAAAAGACGTGGAATTCTTCTAAGGGCCTGAACCTTTCCTACCTTCCTAGGTGAAGTGACAGTCAAACTATCTCTTGAACTGTGACAGTGAGAAAAGGGTATGAGGAGGAACTGATGGGCCCACACTCAGAAGCAAGTGAAAAACTCAGGAAGGATGAGGCTGCCTAACCAAAGACAAAGCAAAAGGTAAATCAGTTTAGATATGAAATCTTATGGGAAGTGAAAAAACTGCATGATCCTAGATTGAGTGATGGCCATCTGGTGCATTCATTGAACTGACTGCTAAAAAGCAGAACTAGGGCTGATATACCCATCACTGAATTGCACCATTCCTAATTCAGCAATATTGAACTATTAGAAGAAGAATTAGCCCTCCTTTACTTACCATCTTTGGACTCAAAGACAACAAACTCATACACTGTTAGAAACAAGGGACAGTGTGCATGCCAAATAAATGGCTTTAAAATCCAAACTATAGAGAGTTTCCATAGTGCTGCTTCTTGAGGGCATCCCTGCCTCTGAATCTCATTTATCAGAGGTTGCCCCTGTGTACCTGCTACTGATACCTGCAGCTAATCAGACAGGACATCAATTCTTGCACTTCTGTGAAAGCTACCCAGATGAAGCATGGCTACTGATGCATGCTTTCACATCAGACTGACACAGATTTTGGTGTGATGAAAGCGTATTGTGTGGTTATTTCCAGAGGACGACTACTGACAAGGGGCACATGTTTTTGGATGCCAAGTGTACTGAAGCCATTAGTGACTTTTCTCTCCACTTTCAAAGTTTGCTTTATAGGCCCCTAGATGTGCGAGTATACATTCCAGGCTAAAAGCACTAACTACTTCAGAGGAAAACGAACATTAACCAGATTATTCCAATGAGTTCCAAGCCCTGTCAGGTGTGTTTCACCTCACTACCAAGAATGACAAAGATCCAGTTTGAATAAAGTGTAGAATGACATCTCTGTGACATATAATGGATTGAGAGTCAAAACCAGATGGTGCAAGCAGGTGGATGATGGTATAAACTGTGAATGGTGGTTTATAATAAGAGGTAAAGTACTCAAGATCAAAACTATGATCAATGCCTTGTTTCCATTATAGGAGGTAGAAGACTGACATAATAGACCACTAAACAAGATTTGGGTGTTGCTGATTTCACCTTTATGTCTGGAGAATAATTAAGTTCTGGATGAGTCATTCTGTTCCTTTTTCAAAAGTAGATCAGAAGAAGCTCTGACACTAACACAGTGCTCCTTGTTGTTTGTTTCAGATGTCCCCACCATGATCAGCAAGCAAGCTTATGAGAAAGCTTGAATGGTGGTAACTTGACATGATTCATGGAAGAGATCCAATATCTGAAGTTGTCTAGAAAACCTTTCCAAGGCCTGCTAGGTTTTGCATAAACTTTTTAGAAAGAAGAATTTCAGTTTTTCTTCATTTTTCAGTTGCTTATCGAAGCACCTTGAAATTGACAAAGCTCCACGACAAAGCTCTCCTGCAAGCACAATAAACTTTTGGAGAATTCATCATTCACTGTAATTAATACACCACAGGATAGCCATAGCCTGACCTCTTTCAACTTTAATCTAGATTCTTTATGTCTTTGTATTGAACTGGAAGCATCACAAAATTCAGTGTTCTGGACACAAGTGGTACAAAGATACTGAGCTACAATCACCTCTGCTCATTGAAACCTAAAGGACAGACAGCAATATGGTTTCCCAAGAAGAAGGTGTGGTCCCAGTGTTATTTAATGCAATCAGATTTGGTGCACACGGAATGCACAGGTGCCAAGACTGAAATCTGTGTCAAAGGTTACTCAAAACTCACCACCAGTTGTGTAAGCCACTATATCTTCACAGTCATTTCCTGACCTTGTCTTCCTAAATTTACAACTTTGTATGTGCATAAATCACAGCAAGGAAAACAAAGGGCAAATCCTTATTAGAGACATAAGGCACAGCAATAATATAAATAATAAAATTCTCTGAAATAATGTTGTACTTCAAGTAACCTGGAACTATAGTTTCTAAATATTCTAAAATGCTAAATAGTGCACAAATGCAGATCAAACTGCTCTGGAGAGTTTATTATCTAAGCATAAGGCAAGACACAAAATGGGAGATGGAAAAATGCAAAGAAACTGTAAAAAGGCATTAAAGATGTATTTTATAGCAGAATTCTTCAAGAATGAAAGTGTCAAGGCCAGAGAAAGGAAGGTTCAGCAATCAAAACAACAGTTTAGGATATAGTGGATAAATTTTAACTGTATGTATGGAAAGGCCATGTTGCAAGAAAAGTTATGTAGAAAAAAGAACAGAGTCTTAATCACAGACTGAATGTAAGAATCCAGCAAGTGGACCAAATTAAAGATGATTTCAGGCTATGGGCACAAGTGACAGGCACAATGGTCATGTTGTCTGTGGTGATCCAGGAAGGTGGCAATGAGAAAGAGATTAAGAATGCTGTTTTAGCCATTTTGAGCCTGAGCTGTTGGAAAGACAGCCCTGAGGAGATATCAGAGACAAACAGATTTTTTTAGGCTTGCTTTGAAACTCTACTCCATTAAAACAAATATATAAAAATGACCGACTGTTAGGTTACCTGAAATTTCAAATTTAACTCAAAATACTTTAAAATATTCTTACTCTATAGCCATCATCATGTGTCAGCTCTCCTAATACATTTATGTTAACTGAATACAAAAGAAATGTGAAATAAATATAACCAGGAGGGATGATCAAATCTAATTTTGATACATTAGTGTCATATGCTGTACATGTTACAATAGCAGCCAGACTTAATACTAAGCTGCAGGCTATACTGAAATTTCCAAATGGCAGATTGTTCTAAGTGATACCAAGTATAATTGAAGTAATAAACGATAGTAAAAGCAAAGCACACTGTCAGGAAGAATTTAAGTATTTACTTTTTAAAATTAAATGAGTTAGGTTTGGAAAGGCAAGACAAGTGAAATAATGCAGGGCTCAATTTACAGAAAATTCCTTTTATTTATCTGTTGCATTAACCCTTGAACTCTTGCCAAAATTACTGTAATTTCTAATACTCACTTACCTAAAGGAGGGAGAAAAAAGGCTATCATATTTTCTTATGTTACAACAGCTAGCCCCAACTTTTTTCTTCTTCAAAAAATGAAAGTGTTCATTATAAAAAGAACAGGAGCAGAAACATCTGAAGTAACAGCTTAATGCAGCTACTTTTGCCCATTAAATGCAAGCAGCACTGCTGTCTACAGCATATGTACCCTCTAGTTGAATTTTTCACAAAACTTAGTTTCAATAACTATTGTGTGTTTGGGGTTTTTTTAAAGCAACATGTGTACCTCATTGTAACACCGAAAAAATATTATACTAATAATTTACACCTACAAACCAATACATGTTAACAGCACAATAAAAAAAACTAGCTATAAATACTGGGAGCTATAAATCTTTTATGTGGTTAGGACGATGTCACACGCAACATAGAATCATGTAATATGCCCAAAGCCCGAGATGAATTAGTATTCCAATCATTAATAACATTACTACTACTTATTTACATATCTTGTGTATAATATTCTCACCTACAATGCCTTCACTCTTTTATCAGGCTAAGGAGAAGGAGCTAGACAGGTGATAAGCTGTCGAGGCACATACATGAGCTTTCTCATTCTGTGAACTCAGAGTCTTCACAGTTTCATTTAATCCTGATATTTTCTTTGCAAGTTTGTTCTTGTAAGGGTAGTGTAAATACTTTTTACTCTAACCTTTAATTCTAAGAAAAACAAAATGGATTGCATTATCAGCGTTAAATCTTTAATTTACTATTTGCAAATTAAATACCTATTTTATATATGCTTTTCAATGTTAAGTTCCTTTACATATTCAGAAGATTCTCCTCTGTTCTCCCTGAATTCATGTCTTTTCTTGCTCTTGTTCATGTCTTCAGAAACAAATGCTTCAGAGGTATCCAAGACACTTAAAAGTTTTATTTACTATTCTGTAAGACTGATGGAAAATAAGTTTAAAATTGGCTTAGACTCTGAAACAGCAGAATCTTGATTTTGTAGTGGCTGGACTGGCAGGAAGAAGTTTTCTTTTAACTTAATTTGATTTCCATTTATAAGATGAACCTATCATGCACCTCTAGGCACATTTACAATATAAAAAACAGCAGCGGTTCGAAGCCAACTACTGCAAGTTTGCTTTTTTTTCTCCCATTGAATGAGACAGACAAAGAAAGCACATGAAAGACCAGTAAAGAAGCTCAAAATGCAAGTTTCTCTGGAGCTCACAAACAGTACAGGCACTCAAAATGATTGCAGTTGTTAGCACACACACAGCTCTCAAATAATTTTGAGGTCCCCTATAATGTGTTTGAGCTGGACAGCATCTCATAAAACACATTCCTTTTGCTGATGTGTTCAGACTAAGCAGCATGAGTAGTTGCAGAACTAGGAAAAGAATTAAGCCTGTTTTCCTACTCAAGTCTCCTGATACCACTTGCTGGTTTCTCCCAAGATGCACACTTCAGTTGATGCTTTTCTCAAGTTTGGGATGACTTTCATAGCATCTCTCTCTGGTGCTGGTTCCTTGATGTCTAATGCTTCTTTCCATGTAGTCTTTACCTGCTGAGTAGGAGCACTACAAGTCTCTCTCACTGTCTCCTTTCCTTAGCCTGTCTTCATTAAACATATATGAAATTAACACCTGTGAAACATGTCTCTCAAATTTGATTGAAATGGGCCAAAAGGTGTTAGGGATGGGAGGAGAGACATAAAGGCAGGCTCACAAGCTTCCATTCATGGGGAAACTGGGCAAGAAGAACAAAAACCACACACTGAGGAAGAACAGGAAAGGAAGTCACAAAGAAATAAAGTAGCTTGATTAAACAGCCCATCAGTAACTGAGCTACAAATACAATCCTGATCTTTTGATACACTGTACATATCCATACAGACCTCAAATATTCCAAATTACTGATGAGTGAGACTGTGGGTAAGGGAGTAGAGAAATAGGTCTGGGGCAAGCTGGAGTTGTTAAAAGTTCATCTGACACCATTTTCTCAAGCTAAATCACAGGAAGACTGGACCAGCACTGAACAAACAGCTATGTAGATTCAGGGTGATCCTGGAAACAGATATGACATCCCGCCTGTGCGTTCTGCTGAAGTCCACAGCATTTGCAAATTATTTATTATTAATTAATTTTCACTGTGACCTGTCTTCCCCCTTGTCAACACTTTTTAATGCTCTAATTCAAACAGATTATAAACAAACATCATAAGGATAATTACAAGCTGTGTTTTATAAAACCAAGTTTCTGTTCAAAAAATACAGAAGCCAGTCAACTTAGAAAAATACATATGTATACACACACGGTTCTATATTAGAACAATAGCAACAATCTGATTTTTAAATTAGCTATTTTTGCTACTAAGCCACTTTTATAAATAATTTAACAACCTAAGTATTACTCTGGTTCTACTTCAGGAAATAAAGAACAGAAAGGACCCAGCACCATAGGCATACAAGAAAAAAACCATTTTTTAATTAAAAAAAACCCCACCAAACCAACCAACCTAAGATGCGACAGTGAGAAGTTAGAACTCATAGTCAGTCTATAATAATAACAACAATAACATTTTTTTCTTCAAGTTGAACACAAAGAACAAAAAAGTCATTAATAATTGAAGCTTGCCAGAGGCATGGCTATTTCTCTCTTTACTAACTGTCTACTGTCTAATTTAATTACAAGTATTAAACTCCATGCTGAGGTCAACCAGCTTCAGTTCCTCCAATATTACACTTCAACCAGTGCTCATTAACGTGTCTACTGAATGGATTAGCACATCTGAAGATGTATGTACGCAGGACGGGGGACAGTCTAATGATAGCCAATTGTTCATTTATAATAGGACACATGTTCGAGACTGTAACTTATTATCACTAATGTGGAATTTATTAAATTCTAAAGAAAAACATACCAATATAGAAAACCATTTTTTTCTTAATGTGGCTATGAGAGATCATATCACTGTTGAGCATTTGTGCCTGCTCCAAGACAAAACACCTCATATAACATAAACATTGCCGAATTCCTAACATTTTTAACTTCTTTTTGAAGGGAAACTTATGTTAATAGACAGCACGTGACTCTTAAGTGAATAAAAAGTCATCTTAGAAAGCACTCACCACATATTTATTAATTGGCATTTAAAGTCTCAAAGGACTAAACCATCATTCAGACGTAATGCTTTTTCTTCTACACAAATCATTACCTCCCTTCATTTTTCACCACTATACATGTGATCCTGCCAGCATTTGCAGTGATGGCAAAAAGCACCAGTATGGCAAAATTAGAAATTGATAGAGAATAATTTATATGGCTTAACCTAATTCAGTAAAATACCAACTATTAGCAGGTAAAGGTGTTATGATTTATGTTTTTTTAGAAAAAGTTACTGGATTTTCTTTGACTCTTAATTTCTCCAGGTTTACTACCAAAAGAAGATCTGTTATTGAGAAACACCTACCTTTTTTGTTAAAGAGTCATCTGAATCAGAAGGCATTCTTGTTGACACATGGAACATTACTTCTACTGTCGAGGTAGCAAAATATGGAGTGGTCAGTCCAGTGCTTTTGTTTTTTTGCAGTCCTCCCATAAAGCCACAATGGTTTGTGAGATTTACCTAGAAGTAAAGTCCAGGAAGCGTTAGAAGAAAAAAAAAAATATCAGGTGATAAATACATTCTTTACACTTTGAAATGCACTTTCAACTGAATTTTTAAAAGTGAAGGCCCTTTTCACAATGGTACAGTTATGCTTTTCTAAAAGAGCTCAGACTCGCTGACTAGACTGGAAATTAACATCAGTGCAGTGGCATTCTATATTCCATGGCCACCGCAAATGCTGCTGGAAAGATGAGGTTAGAGAAAAGGAAAGGTTGTGTAAATGACTATTTACTGCATTACTCCCTGATCAGCTGACTGTAGCCACTTACTTGTGCTTTTTGAATTTTTCAAAATTCTGTGATACTACATCAGCCTTGACCTGAGCTCTAAAGAAACCCTGCACAAGAGCCAGACAATTTAAAATTGTCTTGTTACCTTCTGTGTATTTTCTTGAGAAATTTTCATTTTGTGAATATGGAAAAAAAATCACAGGAAACAAACTGATAATTAGTAAATAAGTTTCTAAGTCCTAGTTCTATGGGAAATAGTTTGGCACTGAAACAAATAAGCATGCTTAATGGGCTATTTCACTTTTACAACAGTGCCTAAAGAAAGCTGTATCTCAGATGTGTATCCATTTAATCTCTGCCCACATGGGATATATTTGCTTTTCTGCTAATAAAGGATCCAGAATTTAATGTTAGGAGGTTAAAATATTAGATGTCTCATCATGGAATATTAATCCAAATTAGCAACTCTTTAATCTAGCTAATAAACACTAAAAGAACTAACCCACTAAAGAAGGATATTTGAAAACACTAATGTGACTTTTTTTTTCTCCTGAAGAATCAGGAATGTGGGAAATAAACATCTATGTTCATGACAGTCAGTAGACTTCTAGTAGTTTTCCTCTGTCCCTGTGGAAAAGTCAGAGCTGTTATCCACACTGCTAATCTAGTAGTGCTCTTATATACCTAAGGAGTAAGAAAAAGAACAAAGAAGATGGACACTCCTGTGGACACTCCTGATGAACGCAAGCAAAACAGAAAACCTGCAGATTCTTATGCAGCCAGCCAGGAGCAGGAGTGACTCTGTACTTCTGTGCGACAGTGCCGAGTAAACTTTACAATGGAAGTTAATCCTATGAGGTCAGAAAGAAAGGATGTGAAAAAGGAAATCCTTGTAACAGTATCGAACTAGTGACTAAAGAGTTGCAGGTCCATATAGATGATGGGGTACATCACAGTATTTCTGACTGCTGGAAGACACATGGAGCGGAGCGTGTGAACATGCCTGCAGTGGAAGGCAGGAAGAAGGGAGCGTCAGAGAAGCTGCATGTTTATATTTTTCGGATTCCCAAATTTGAGCAAATCTCAGATTTCAATGGACTTAACACTTTACAGGCATACAGGGAAATTAAGATGCCTCCTAATCAACCCATGAAAGCCAAGTACAGGACTGCACATTAAAGAATCGTCACTGCCTGCAGAAACTTTCTTAAATTGAAAGAGCTTAAAATTAATAACTAGTACTGCTAATGAAATTAAAACCAGAAGTCTTCTCTACATCCTACTTGCAAAACAGTGTATTTCAGTACTTGTGAGTAATGCTAAAGAGCCAAAGACTTGTAACATCTAAAGGGATCTGTAATTTTCTCTGTAAACAAACTTAGGATAAAAACATTTTAATAAATACCTCCCAGCCAAGACCAGCTACAAAATCCTCATAGGCTTGACTTCCCCCAGTATTAGTAAGAATGGAGTGTTTATCTTCTTGTCCCTCAGCAACATAAAACACTGCAATCTTGTGTGTCTCTCGGCTGTAAAACAGAGAATGGTCACTGCATGACAGTGCCTTTACTAATATGAAACCAAAATATGCAAACAGTACATGCAGAGCATGGCTTTTAAAACACTGAAAAAGATAACGGAAGTAAAGTATAACTATATGGCTTCTTTTTGAATATCTTCCATATTTCCATATTCCCATTCTGTCTTTTCTAGTCCGGTCTTCTCCAGAGCCTAAAGTTTTGCTATACATGAACAGCTTTTACCCCTTTCCTCACTTCTAAGATGTAGGATGGTGCTGGCAGTACCAATTGCTTAATGGAATAGCTGGGCTTCCGAAATGAGCAAAACCTGTAAGACAGGCATTATTGACACTGCGCTGCCCATTAACAACCTTGTGAATGCTGTGGCAAATGCAGCTTATGCAACTGAATGAAGAATCTTTAAGTACTATAGCAATGTCTTCTGCTCACAGCTTGCTGTTAGACACTGCAGCAACTGAAGGTGGCTTCTCACACTTCTAAAACCTCCACTGGATTTCAACTTCTACAAAAACAATCCAAAGTTTTTAATTCTGTGCTACAACTCCAACTAGAATTCCATGACTTCAAATACTAACAGCACTGGAAAACAGCTAAACAATTAGCTGAAGCTTAAAATGCGGAGACTTTGATATATTAAAGTTTTAAAACTATTCCATTTTATGTGTACAAATGTTCATAATTTTAAGTTATTTTGAAGTTTGTTCTATTTCACGATATTCTACTTGTAGAGTGTCACTCTACAAATAATACCAATGTAACTTCAATATAACACCAATAACTACAATACAGTGCAAAATACATGAATAATTCACAAAACTATTTTAAAAATTAGTTCAACTCTCACATCTATGCAATTAGAGCCATTTAAGTACAAGCACACTTAAAACAAGTAAGTAGGCAGCCATTAAAAGAATTTACCATTGTCTCGAGTCCAAATTTCTGAGTTCTCGAAGTAACTTTTCATTTTTCTTCAGGAGATGAAAGCTCCTTCTAAATAGAGAAATTTGTAACTCTTTTATCACCTGTTCATTGATGGATACAGAACAGTACAAGAATGGTACAAGAACATTTCCAGGTCCATTCAAGAACAACCAACAAATGCTTCTGCCTTTTCAATAGTCCTTTCTTACATAAAATATTAAGGCATCTTTCAAAAATACACAAATATATAAAATTTACTCCAGGAAATCTTCTATATCCATTATAGCTCTGAGTACAACCTTTACTTCCACTTTCTTCTGTCAACCTATTGGATCCAACTGTGATCAATCTCTTCTCTACAGAAGCACAGACAGAACTCCCTTTGATGCATATATAAGCTGCACACTTTACTAGGCCATAATATATACACTTAGTGACAAAAGACACTCCCATAATCTACTGTCCTAGGGAGTTTGTGCATTAAACACAGAACTTTTGCTATTCTGAATTGCAGAAGAGAGCAGAACATAGCTCACTAGTCACTCAGCCAGCTGTAACAATTTAAATAAAAAACCAAAACAATATGTTAGAGCAAGAAAGGCACTTTTCTTTTAAACTGCACTTAAGATGTTTCCCACAAAACACAGTGGAATGAGTTTAAGAGAAGTACTGTTCAAAACCAGATTGCCTTGAGGAATTAAAGACCCAAATAAGAAGTGTTATAACACCAAAATTTTGTCTGATTCCAGTGATATCTCAGTGACATAGATTATCTTCGTTTTACAGACTATCCATTTCTCTTCATAGTAAGAAAATATTTCAATGCCTCTAATACGGCACTTGACAGCTATGGCAAAAGATGATTTCAGAAAGACCCTTACATTCTAGGATGTTAATATTTGTACATACCCACATGTATATGCAGACATACACCTAACTACACCCACACAAAAGTAATAACATAAACAAAGACATTATTTTTGTAACTGAACATGGCTTGTCTCCTGTTGTTCTAAACAATATGCAAACATTGCCAATGTTGAAATAAATAGCAGGGGACACATCTTGCTTGTTAGCTAACACAGATGCAATACTTTGAGGCTGCATGCAAGCATGCTCTTAGCAGGCAAAGCAGCAGGACACTGTCCAGCAACACAATAGCTGCGAATATGACACTTTCAGAATCTCATACTGGCACAGAAGGGTAATGATTTTTTCAGGAACATACATGGGAAGCAAAGAAAGCAAAAAAGATGCCTTCTTTACCCATAGTAGTACCCCTTAGTACAGCTGGTGAAAGGATTATTAGAAAAGATATCACTCCTTCAATTTGCCTTCCAACACTGTTCTAAGGAAAGAACATAAATAGCAATAAAGGCAACAGGTTCCTCATTTCTGTCTCTCTAAATGACAGGCTGAAATGCAGAAGAAAACTACCATGTTCCCCCTAGTTGCACATCCCATCTCCTCCTTTGTTGGCTGGCCTGGAATATTTTTGGCTTAACCTACTCTATGATCAACTATTATTACATGGTAAGAATAGCACAATTCCTTAGGAGAAAATTCTTAAATTGTGAGTTTTTTCTTTTTACCTTTTATCCCAAGAATTCATTCCCAGTATACTGAGAAGTAATCTGCAGTAGTAAAATGCTGACTGGGGCTTTTGTGAGGTTGGCTCATCCTGCTCCATAGCCCTCATATTTAAATCATTGAAATGCTTTTCAACAAACTCCCTCTCTTCTGTGTGCTGTTTCAGAATTGCATTGATGACATCGTTCTCCTGCTTCTCTGAGATGCAGACTGGTTGAGGAGCAGGAATATTGAGTGAGACACCAGTTCTCTGTAAGCATTCGGGGCTTGTAACACCTAAATACTGCAGGAGCTCATCAAGGGCATCTTCTTCATCCCTAATGGTATCCCATGTTGGTACAGTGTCTCTAAATTTCCTTTTTACTTGGAGTGTAATTCCATCCCTTGCAGATACATCCTCTACATGCTCAAAAGATGAAAGAGCATCTTCTGGTTTATCTTGTTGAGATAATGAAAGTGCAAAAGAAGTTTGTTGTGAAGATCCACATAAAGATGATGGTCCATACAAAATGGCCGAATCCCACGAGTATTTGCCAGATAGGTCACGCACTATAATTCTAACATTTGAATTAGCAGATGCAAGTCCAGCAGACAGTCCTCCCCCAGGCATGTCGTCTTCTGCTTGGATTTGTATGCAAGAGACCAGGGATGTATTGTTTAACACAAAGAACTGAAGGTTTGGGTTCTCAAAAAGTTCAGGAGAAAGTTCAGGACTTTCACTGTACGGATTGTCATTGTTTTCACAGACTTGACTGGTTAGCATAGCAGGACCTCCACTCATAGGATAGTGGCCTAAGTGGTTGACTAGATGTGTTATCACAGTACGAGCAGCAACAGAAATTAATCCTTGTTGCATGTGAGTTTTCACTGCGAGAGAAAGAACATAGGTTTTAAAAGATGAGTTCAGAAAACAACACCAACAGTTATGTATTTCTTTTGGTCTCCTCTTCTTTGTGAGTTTTAAACAGAGGATGAGCACTGCAAGGCTAGGATACAGCCAACTCAGTAATGGAAAATATGTATTTTGATGAACACTGGTCTCATATATAAATAGCATGAAAAATCACAAGATAGTTAAAAAAGTATCTTCATTATTTTACAGCTTACCGTACCTCCTTTACCATAGCTTTGTAATCAGCACGGTTCTTCTAAAATATACAATTTTTTAATCTAGTGAAAATAAATCTTAAATTGCTGATGAAGTAGAGATCATAATTGCGTTGTAAGAAGTCCATTTCCAACTGCAGTGGATTTTTATATTTATACACATCATTACATTGTGAAAAACAGAGGAACATAGATGCACAAAACCTCTAATCCATCTTAATTTCTCCAGGGAGCATGTAGCTGTAGGTTAGGTTGAGAGTAATACTGGATGATTTTAAAGTACCAAAGACTGGGCTATCTACACTGAACACAATATAACAGTAGCAAAATTTTCAAAAAGCAAATCTCATTCCCCAACTGTGTTTTTAAGACGTTTCACGCTGGAAAAACCTGGAGGGAGAAAGAGCAGTTAATTGTGCCTGTCTTATGCGAAATTAATCTTGTGAGATGCACTGGTATTTCAATATGGTTTTGCCACCTCCTTCTCTGTTGCATACCTTCCACTTGCATGCAATGTTACCTAAATTCACAAAGGGAATTTCTTTATACCACACCTGGCTAACCCAGTATTTTATTGTTATTTGATTCTTCTATTAGATCCACTCTACATTATCCATGAAGCACAGAGCTGGTCAAAGCGACTCTGTCAGACAGACGACCCTCAGCTGCTCAGAGTACCCGCCGAAGAAACCATACAAAAAAAGTATTACACTGCAGAAGATCACAGGTAGAAAAGGAAACAGGATCAATATGGCAAAGCACATATTTCTGCAGCCTCTCTAACAGGACCTAGATGCCCTGAATCTGCGATTTACAAGGGGAAGATAAATCAAGACTGTACTCCTCAGGATTACATTATATATTTTAAACTATATTAAACATTGAAAACTGCTGCAAACACTTCCCACCTTCTTTCTCACCAAAAATCCATCAAACTAGAACGTTCTGAACCACATCACTTTTTCATTCAGTATTTACTGAGAAAATGTAACCTCTTGGACGTGTAAGTATGGTATAATGAACTCATCTTCCTTTATACTGTGTATTTATACGCAGTAAAAACTGATGTTTAATAAACAAATTTCTTTTTGCAGTTTAAGGTGTCTTAATTGGTTTAACTGGAAAAATAAAGGCAAATTTGTAATGCATACTGACTGTCATGATAGATCTTTAGTTTCTGAAGAACTGGATACATTCTGTGTCTGCAAAAGTAAACAATTAGTATATATTTGCCTTTTTTTTCCCCCACAAGGTTTGGATAAAGCATGTAAGAGATGTTTGGGATTCTTCTCTACCTTTAGGGAGCAGTAGACCTGAACTGCAAAAAGGGAAACATTTGATCCTATTAATAGTTGGCAAAATCAACTTAATTTTTACACTATTCCGAAACTCAGATAAACTCAAATATTTTAAAAAATTAAGGCCCTGAAAACTAATATAAACAAATCAGATATTGTATTTTTATTATCCATAACATTCTTGATGTTTAAAAATTTAGAAACACAAAAACATTCAGTGAAGCTGAATTAATGTCCAGATATTGATAGCATCCAAGGAAATTAAGTTATAGTGCCATCTGCTGAAATATAAGAAGGAACTGTAAGCAAATTTATACAAGACAAAGAGAAAATAAGTCAGATGCTCGAAGGATAATTTATCAGTGCAGTACTAACCAGCACCTGGACAATGCAGAGGCTGGCTCATCTTTGTCAGGATATTTATGCAAGGTGTTTAGCAAGGCTCTGCACAGAGAAGTAAGGTAATGCTTTTCTCGGGTTCCTAGGAGCAAAGACATGTGAGCTTCCCAGCTACCTGAAGTCTCACACTGTGTAGCTTAAATGCCTTCAGTTAAGCTGTGCCGAAAAACCTGAAGAAATGAGAGGGACCTGTTAGCACAGAAGTTATTACTACTACTACTGTTTTGTGGCAAACCCTAAAGATCTCACACCTAACCATGGTTGTACTGTGCCTGTGTGCATGAATTTACTCCCTTAGGAGGCTAAGGGACACATGGAAAAATCTCTGCTCTCTTTACAATGGTACAGTCTTTTGCTTGGGCAATGTAATTTATATGTGTACATGATCACTTGGTAATTTGCTAGAAGCATGTTATATTGGCTATTTTTCTCAGTCCCTGAAATTACCTTGTTTGTGGAAAGGCTGCAGGTCCATCACCACTAATTTGTATCAGTGGCATGAATGGAGGATTCCTGAATTTCCTTAAGATATGTTAACTCTTTAATTCAACTTTGGCTGAACAGCTTCTTAATAACTACAGTTATGTAGCAGAAGGCAAAAACAATGACTGAGGGTGGAATTTAACTTTCCTCACCCTTTTAACTGTCTAAAGAATGATGCACCTGTACAGACTGATTCATCTCAGTTAGAAGCCCAAATTGGAGAAACGGGATGAATCACTCTCTGGAAACTCTTCTCTTTCTCCATCACGTTTAGAGGGAGCCTAAGAGAGTTCAGTTTAGCTTAGCTACCTGTATCTTCCACTAGCTTAAGGAAGTCTTACTCCTTTCTAATTTTAAGCTTCAGGTATAGAGAGATACTGTTAGAGAGAACCCATCTCTACAATATCCCTCACAAAACACAAACTGTGTTAATCTGGATGTGCAATGTATAAAGTGTTTTTTAAAAAGTGTACTTTTTGTCTGCTTTCAGTAAAAAGGCAAACAGCAAAGCCTTAAAAGAATATTACTCTCTATGTCTGATTTTTAAATAAAAGCTAAGACTGAACATCAGATGGGGGAAACCTTTTCTTCAGAAATTGAAATATATTAGGAAAATAATTGATCTATGCAAAAGAGTTTAAAATATGTTTGGAGAAATATGCCAAATGGGGAAAATCCATGAAATCAGTAATTGATGGACCACTGTATCTATGCAATGCAACTACTACCTTCCAATCACAACTACCTCTAACAGATTTGTGATCTATGAAGCACAGGTTTCAAAATGGTTTTGCCTATAATTGCAAAAAAATTCCCATAAAATATTATTTCCTTACAACTAGACTCTATTCAATAGTCTGATTTTGCTATCTATTAACATTAGATGTATAGCACTTTTTGTTTAATGCTACCTATTTTAGTGTAACCAGCTTTCCTGTCAATACAAGGGTCACAAAACCTCTCAATTTTACTTTTTCCTAAATGTCTGCATCATTTAGTATAAACAACAAAAAAGCTTTGAAGGAGAGGTTCCATTTTAATTCTCCTTCATGTATGTTCACGGTCCTATAATGACAGGTAAAAAGATCACAAGTAGGCAAGCAGATAGGGCCCAATGCAGTCCAAGTCAGCTTTTGCACGTCTAAACTGTACAGCGAAGGGCTATAATGCTATACTATCCTTGGAGAAAGCATACCTCTGTCAGTGTGACACTGAATCCAGGCTGGTTAGGTGCGGTTAATTAGCACAGGCAGCACCTGTATGCCTGTACCGTAGCTAGAGAAAGCTGTTGTCAATACTAGCTACAGGAACAGTTCATCAGCCTTCATGTACCAAGGTCAGGTTGGACTGGGCTCTAAGCAACCTGATCTAGTTGAAGATGTCCCTGCTCATTGCAGGGGGGTTGGACTAGATGACCTTTAAAGGTCTTTTCCAACCCAAACTATTCTATGATTCTATGTATACAAGCTCTGTGATTCCTTAGATATATGAAAGCACCACAGACTTGCTGTCTGCACGTTCTGATGGTGCAAGAAAAGATTCCTATCGATGTCTTTATTGTCAGCTGCTAAAAGTTTGTTCTGATTTAAATATAACACTTTCATATACTTAACACTTAATTTAAAAATTATTCTTTGTGTATCTTATACTGCAATCTACCACTTTATGTGAAACCTACAGAAAGGAGGACAAAGAAAATTTCACAGATAATCCTATGTATAACAGATTCCTTGTGAGAGATAGCATTTGGAAAGTTACTGAAACAGAGAGGGGAATAAGCCTCTTCTCTCCCCACATTGCCTGTTTCCAGAGGATTTATCAAATCTTTGCCCTGTTGTTTATTGCAAGGCTTGCTCCAGCCTCTCAGTATGTCCTGTCCCCACTACACAGCTGTATCACTCTAAGTTCCGTATCTTCCTAGTCTCATACCACATCATATGGTGGTAAGTGTCCATAAAACTGGTGATGGATCTGACCTTGAACAACAGAATGCATAATAGGGTATGTCAATCACATCTATTAAACTGATCAAAAGCATCCTATCTTAGAATTCTGGTGTTTCACTACTTCCAGCTTTGCTTGTGACCTAAGGAAAGAGTCTAGCAATCCCCACCCTGTCTTTGTAGAACTTCCTTGACTTCCCTGCAACCGCCCTCCTGCCCATTTCCATTCCTTCAAAAAAAGATATCTTGATAGCACTCCTACTCTATTGAAAAAGAGCATTGGCATGCTGCTCTGCTGCTAGCTTGCACTAATTGACCCCCTGTCTTGATCGAGTCCCAGACTGGTTGTTATCCACTAACTTTACTCCTCTCACTCCTCCAACAATGCCAGGGAGAACAGATGCTATGCAATCAGTTAAGCACTGCCAATTTTATCCTGTGTCTGGCAATGTGGACTAGAAGTGCCAAGGTTGCAAGACCAGGGTTGCATTATAATGCTGTAGTTTGCCAATTAAATTTCACAATCTGACTTACAATTCCAGAGCCCCGAAACTTTAAAAACATATGGGGCTTCCTTAATTCATCTGGAGAGATAAAAGGAACATCTGAAATTACTTTTATTTAGAAATTTAACACGAAATCATAAAAGAACAGATCACGTACGGAAATGCAAAATGAAGATATCGATGCTAAGGCTTTGTGCAACTACATTCATTTAAAGAGAAATCTATTCAGGGTTGTCTTTTCAGATTGTCAGATTAAACAAGCCACATGGCATTTGCTGCTAACCCATAATTACAGATTATTACAGAATACAAAAGATGCCAGGCATAAAAAGCTACTACAATTCACTACACTGTAATAGAACATGCAGTGGAAGTTAATTTTGGCAAATGCTTTAAATATTAGCTTTACATAATATGTATAGGTGAGACTGTAATTAGGACAGAATGAATCCTTCGAAGCCTCTTTCATTCTGACCCAGCAGATGATTACTTTTTACTAATAAGACCACAGCCATTTGACAAAAAGCCAACTATAGTACCTTGCTTCATTCTTCAGTAAATTTAATAATTACAGCTCCTCCTGCCAATAGTTCTCAAATCAGACTTGTTCAATCCAATACTGAGCTTATTAGGAGACAGCTCTATGTTTAGAATTCTTTGGCCAAAAAAGTACTTGAGGATGATGAAGCATGCCTTAGACAAGGGCACAATGATTAGCCATTTTCTCTACATAAAAAACAGCACGTAGTCACTACAGACCACAAAATCACCTGCTGTTAGCACACAGCTGCTACAAAGAGCTTCTGCATTTATCTGGTTCTTAATACCTTTAAGGAAGCCTAAATGGAACAACTTAATATGGAGGGAGAATAGCACTACACAGAGTTTCTGGTATCAGTATTAATCTCATCTTTTTCAATTTTCTTCCCAAGGTAGCCATTTGATATTTACTAGATACACTGCATAATATATGCTACTCCTCTGTAGCTTACTTTCTTGATTCTTTGTTTTTATTTCTGAGTTCTGAAGAAAATGTTAATTCCTGGGTCTCTTAAGGTTCTAAGCAGATGAGATAAAATTTCTCTCTTTTTAGATAACTCTGTTAATGCTTTTAACCAGCATAAACAGATTGACAGCAAATTATGATAGGTTAAAAAAACCTGAAAGTTTTCAATATTGCAAGCTCAGATAGGAAAAAAACCCAAAATATTCTTAGAAAAAGGAGCAAAATGAAGAAAAAATAAATTAATTTACTGAAAGTAAACATTTATCCATGTAACATTTATCCATGTTACATCCTGTACTTAACACTTTTTGCTGATACACAGAGCACAGAAGAATCCATATCAAATCAATCTTCATGTTGTTCAGAAGATCCTTATTTCAGTTAATCGAACAGTAATTGCACAAAATTATGTTAGCTCATTCCATACTAATGGTTCCTACCTAGCGTCTAGCATAATTTAAAACTTATGCTTTAAACAAACACTTCAATACTGGAAACCAAGATAAGATCTTTTTGAAAGAAAATGCATTTAGGCAATTTGACAAACCTTCAGTGACCGGCTGAAGTTTAGAAGACCTCTCAGAGTCTGGAGAATGCAGTGGTTCTGGTTCCTTCAAGCTTTCTAAATGCATAAAAGGATCGTAATCCACACATGCCAAATCAGAAAGGCTTAGAGGAAAATATTTAGGGTTGCTAAAACACTGAGATCCATAGACACATCCATGCAGAACCTAGAACAAAACCAGAATTTCATTACATTAACTACTGAAATTTCTACATGATACTTTTATAAGAAATAAAGTTTATTTACATTTTTTAATTGATTTGTTAGAACCGGGTAGGCAGGACAAAATGTTGGAAAATTTTAGATGCTTCATGTTTACAGAAACAAACCCTGGTCTGCAAAGAAAATTGTTAAAACAGTGTCTACGCTGAAGTGGAATTTAACAATAAAGCAACAAGAAACAAAACTTACAACAAATCACTAAGCTACCTTTATTTTTAGATCTCCTATCTTCTTTAATTACATATGCTAGGTCTAAGCTGCTGGAGGTTTTAATCCCCTTCCCGTGCAAAAAAAACCCCTACCTTTGTTCTGTGTCCCTACAGACAGTAATTATAACTTAGTGCTTTTTACTTTGCTTACTGCTAAATAAAATTGCTTGGTATAAAAAAGCTACTTCCTCATCTGTCTTAAATGTATTGCTGGTCTTCTACAGCTCAAATATCTGCTATTGGTATGATATACAAAAACTAACTTGGTTAAACATCACAAAACATAAGACAAAATTAACAATTCCAAATATACCAAAGATCAAGCAGTTACAGTAAAACGTACAAGAACTAAGACAGCACTCTACATTTCAGCAGTAGAATGGAGGTCAGCTTACAGAAAAGTTGTGTCTTCATTTCCATGAAAACTGACACTACCTCCATACACAGAAATTCTCATTTAGCGAGTAAAGAAACATGTACCTTATATATACAATTAAGAACGGATCTTTCAGTCTTATCATTTTCTCCTCCTGTAGTGTGAAGAGGCTGCAGCAAGGTCTTTAATGGCAAGGCCATTATCCAATCCAATAAGCACAGAAGTAAAGAAACAACCAACTGGAACAAACACTTTCAATTACAAATCAATTAAACCAGCAACCTGCTACTTCACATTTATCACTGTATTTTACTTCTCTGTTTTACTTTCTTTTCTCAGTTCAGTAGAGACAGCCTTCTGCAGTAATGGCAGGACACACTTGTTTAAAAGCCACTGTATCTTCAAAACCTATGGCATCAGTAAAAACATTGGCTACTGAGGTATTTAACAAAGCCCATTCATACAACAGTTTCTCATCAAGGTAAGCCTGTGAGCAGATACTGTGCTTAAGAGGACACCCATGATTTTTCAAAATTGACTTGTAGGGTGCTGTTTTTAAAATGACAGATTACACAGGTACAAATTAAGGCTGATGTGCCATTCTGCACATAAATCTCACTGTAAAGTGAATCAAGGATTACACAAAACTGAACTATTTCAGCTGCATTTAGTGCTTTCTAAATAACACAGTATTTCCTTCACAACATGTCAATAACGCTATGCAGCACCAGGTATTATGTGAAAGAAATCCAACTGCTTTCTGTGTTGTAGGCTACTCAGTCAGCAAAAGAACCAACTCCCTCTAGGGGATGTTTTTAAAGACTGTAGAACAGAATTAGATTAAGACACACATACACACCAAATTATTAATAACTTATGGCTTCAAATAATTATTTTTCATTTCTAAAACTTAGCTGTGGAAGGGGAAACAATTCAGATAAATAGCTGCAAGATTCTCTAAAATATTTCCCAAGTTAAATAAAAGTCTTTCAAAGAAAATCCACTTAACTAATTTACTAACAAATGACATATAAACATCATACTCATTTCACATAATACATTACAAGTTTGTCTCTCAGAGGCACCATATAATAAGCCTAATGATGAAGGGCTCTGAGTATTTTTATATTAAACCAATTTTTAAGAAACCCATTAGGGCTAAATTTGTCAAACTAGGTAAGCCAATTTTTGATATGTTATTTGACGTACGATGATCAGCATTAGTTCATGGGGAAACTTATTGACTTATGGCAAGCACCTCAAGTGGAAAGGTGGCTAGCTTAGCATACTGCTGTAGTCTACAATAGCTCCCGCCTCCTCGCAAGCAGAGAGGAGAGGCAAAAATGAGCTCTGGAGGCCAAAATGGTCCTGCCATTGAATGCCAGCTCCCACGGGAATGGGTGGCCCAGAACGACAGAGCTGCCAGCGACGCACTGCACCAAAGTGCCCAAGTTAAATGACCACTGTGTCCCACCGTCCTAGAGCAAAGCCAAATAATTCAGAACAGACAGAGCTTTCAGGAGGCAGAAAGTACTACTGTATCAGCTGAAGAAGGAGCCTGTCTTAGCTAGGGGACTCCGGCCCACTGAAAATACAAAAAGATAGCAATCATTTTGAAGGATGACAACAATCAAATTCATCTGAAGATTACAGGCTATTTTGCTCAAGAATGTACTTATAATAGAAAGTTCAAGCAATGATAATCTTATACATGTTTTGAAAGGTATTCTCTACAACTTGAGAACATATTTTCACTATAGGACAACTCTGAAAAGTCTACACTACTTACTTTGCTTGTAAGTTCACTGAGGATCGGGAAAAACATGTCTTTCTAGTTACTGAAAACAATCTCAATTAATTTAAATGCATATTCTGCTACAAAAACTTCAGAAGTTCACTTGCACAAAGAGTACTGCTGGAATTCTGAGAAGGCTATACTGTACTACACTTAAAGAGCTGAATCCCTACTTTAAGGCACATCTTAAATTTTGTAACAATGCTATGTCACACACCTTTGCAATTAAATTGACACCTTAAAAAGAAATGAAAAATGTTTACCCTCTTATCCTGTTCATAAGAGGAAGCTTCTGTACTGGGTAGCAGATGCGTAATAGTTGCTATCAGAATCTGGGGAAAATATAGCATAGTTTCTTTAAAAATACAATTTAAATATTTAAATTTAAAATAAATTTTTAAGTAGGTAAATGTGACACAATACTAGATTAATGGTTAAATTCTATTAAAGTTATTTTGAGACAAATTACAGTATTCCTTGCCACTCCTTTTTTTTTTAAATAAAATTCTTTTAACTGAATTTCGCAGAAGACCCTGAAGGAATACATTCTGCTTGACTGACGTAGGTGCATTATGGACAGTGAAATTACACAGCTACTCCAAATATTCAAGCGGGAAGAGAACATGATTCAACACACTTGTAGGGTGCAGGCAGGAGCCTGATGTGGGTTTGTGTACAGGGCTATTTGAGCTCCATTATTTCTTAGAACTACTAGACTTTGTAAACACTCTGCCTCTACTTAATCGACAATATGACTGCAGAGGAGCAGAGAAATGCTTGCTATACCACTGAAGAAGCTTCCACACAATTCTCTTTCCGGTTACCTGGGAGACCTCTATCTTTTTTCTGTGGTTCAGATTCACAGATGCCATCGTCTACTTCCTTGTTATTTAAAGTGTATTCAAAATAATTATTTTTGCTTTATACTGAAACACTTTAATGCAAAGTGTTTTGCACACGGATATGCAAAACACAACTCCAGATCTGTATTTTAAGTAATAGCTTTCTCACTAAACTTAAAGAAACATATTTGAAGATATTTAATATTAAAAAAGGTGCACTTTGTTGACAGTATTCCCATGTAAATAATTACATAGTTGTACTGGAATAAAAATAAGCATGATACAGCCGTTTTACATGTTAATATTGGAGTCAGAAAGTAAGTGTAACGTGAACCCACACAATTAATGTTCAGTAAGATTATGTTTCTACTAAGTTAAAATTTTGTGAAACATACTTGTCAATATTCTGGTATTTTAATTTCAGTAAAATACATTTTACTGTTACATTTAAAAGAATTAAAATTTATAAATTTTTAAAAATTACTTACTTGAATAATTCTTAAAGGTGAATCAGCTTGATACACTTGAAGTCTATGTACGTAATGTATCAGCATGTTCAGCATACTGCAGGCAACTTGGGCTACTGTTTTATTTGGAAACTAGAAAAGAGAACACAATCCAGTAATGATGACTACATTTCACATAACAGTACATTAGGTGATAACGTGGTCAGGAATTTGGGCAACGGTTTTATACATATAGTTCCTTACGTACCTATTTATTGTAGGAACTGAATTAAACTTTACAAAATTTAAAATTAATTAATTTTCTAGTCATAACCAAACGTTAGCAGCTAACATCAAAGGTTTGGGACAGACAATCAGGGAGTTGCACGCAATGAGGGAAAGGGGAGAGGAGTCTCCTAACTAACTTCAGACTGGTTAGTACAGTATCATGAAGCCAGGAAGAACAAATTCATTTCTTGTTACCTTAGCGATCATTAATATTAATGCATCACTGCAAAAAAACCAAGGATCCAATTCTGAAATCAGAGGTCTTTGTTGAAAACCAAGGCAGATGAACAGCCACGTATCCAAAATGCATGATATGGCACCAATAGTGAGACTAACTGTTCTGTATTTGCTAGTGACTGCTGTGTACAGCAGTTGTCTGAATGGAAATGAATGCATCTCAGCTTCTGAGCTTAATTCCTCTGTTCTCTGCTATCTTTTAAAGGCAGGAAAACATTACTGCACTGGAGCCTGCCTTCAGCAGTTACTAAAATGTTTAAGTTACTGTGTTGATCAAGGCAAAAGTGAACGCATTTGTACAATTACTCTGCAGCTTTGGGAGTGGATGCACACGCTGCCGTACACTCCTAAGTGGAAAAACAAAGAAATGAAGCAACAGGGATTCATTTCCCTGAATTGTTAATGCACAGGACATGTAACTGAGGCTTCTTCCTTCATTGCACTTGCCTTAAAACATTAAGCTGTGCACCAAACAATAAGCACAAAGTGAATTTTACAAGTTAATTTTATTCACCTAGGACATGAAAATCCTACAAATTTGAGCTAAAGAGAAATCTGAGCAAAATGGCTGTTAGCACAGCAAAACTACAGACCTCAGAAGACAGAACAAACTATACAGAAGAAAAAATAATATGCAACAGCCCCAAGGGAAGAATTTCAAATACATTCTTATTCAAGAACATACTCTGTCTTTACTGAAAACAAATATTCCAAACCGTAATACTGATGAATCTCAAATCACTCAGAAAACAATTAGGTAATTCATGCTTTAATCATGAAAAATCCTATTCTATTTCTCCAGTGAAGATGAGTGACATCAGAATTCCTGCATTATTAAAAGAATAAAAAAGTAGTTTACATGTTTTAACCTCGCTTTACTTAGCAGTGAAGCTGTCACAGGTGTGTGCCGCAAGGTGGCTAAGTTGTCTACCTCTGACCTCAGAAAAGGGTAATTATGTTGCAAAAATAATTAGATTTAATTTCTTGGCTGCTTAGACTGTTTTCTGTATCAGTCCAGTTCTATTAACCTTTCAGGGAAGAATATATATCACAAACCTTTAAAGAAAAAAAAAAAAAGCGTTAAGAAATCTTGCCTGGGCAACGAAGCTTGAACAGAAAATTAAGGATTTCAGAACAAAATTTTTGAATGGCAAAAATCTAAAGGTAGAAAATACACTGGAAGAAAACTCTGCCCTGAGCAAGCTTCTTATCAAAGCAGAGCTATAATTTTTTACATTTAAGGTCCTGAAAAGAACATTAAAAATACAAGCACAAGCGAAAGTATGGAGCATGAAGCTTTAATTAAAATTTTTTATTTGTGGTACGTATATAAGCATAAAGAAAGACTATGAATGGGTCTTACAAGTCAGCCACAGACACGGAAACCAGAGTACACAGGGTAGTTAATTCTTGTTCTGACTTTCCCTGTTTCTCAGTGGACACAGTTTCACTCTACTGTCAGCTTTTAACTAAAACATGGCAGACATCTTACAGCTGCAAGTCTTCCCAGAGCTTATGACAGGAATAGCATTATATTTTATTCCTCAGGAGACAGCCTCTCTCCATGCTGTGAACGTACACTGTAAGAGCACAGTAAGCAGGGTACAGATTCTAATGTTGAAGCTCGAGTGACAACCAGAAAAACATTAAATAAAATTGAAAGCATAACAATTTAATTACAGAACTTGAGATCAAATCCAGATTGCTGGAAACATCCTTACAAGCTTGCAGGAAAACCCCAAAGTCACTGGAGAGGACAAAAGGGGTAGACAATCCAGAGTAGCTTAATACAGAGTATCCAGATCACTGAATTTAAGAAAAAATTACCTGAGAAAAAGGCCTGGAGACTTTTCAAAGTCTTTGAATAATCAGCCATTCACTACTTACAAACAGGGAGCCTTTTCTTCTTTTTACTTTTTAATTTTTTTTTTTTAAAAGAGGATCATCAGGCTCTAAAATGAAGACAAGTGAATGATTTCTAGTGCTGTTTTATGCAAATTAGTTAACCTCTTTCTGTTCTCTGGTTGAAGAGAATTTTTAAATTTTTTTTTAATTTAAGAAAAGGAACAAAAGGCTGAAAGGTATAAAGTAATGAATATGAATAAAATTCAAATCTTGTGCACTCAAATTTTCTTTTTCATGGGAAGAGTACCAGGAAGTTTTGATCAAGAATACGGGGACTGGCATAGACAGATCAAACCCTTCACCTACTTCAGAAATCTGTCCCAGCATGGTCAATATATCACATTTCAAAAGAATGCACAGACACTTTAGAACAGACAATTACAGCAGTGTCCCAGAAGGACATCTTCCTAAAATCAAGCAGCAACACTGAGTTTATGCTGGAGAGCAAACCAATTTACCCCTTTCAAGCCAGCTGCTTTGTTCTGACTTCTCTTCCAAGAGCCTTCAGAGGCGGCGCAGAGACAGCTGTGTGATGCTACAAACATTTCACCAGCCGTTCTCTATCTCAGGAAAATGCTGTATGTTATTAAGCATAAGAATTCACTACTTCGATATGATTTTATATATAGCAGTGTAATTGTGGGTATCATTTTTTAAAAGTTACTCGATGGGAAAAAACCCCCTTTCAATGAACTGGCACTCTGCCTGGTACCTAACTCCTAGAGTTTTTCTCAGAAGGGTAGTCTTGACATTCTTTCCCATCTTTGCAAGGGTCTGCTGCTTTCTGGATTTTACATTAGGTGTTTAACCTTGTCCGTACTTGCAAATAACCTATTTTTGGCACTCATTCAACTAAGCCTTTACAACACAATTGTGTGATGTATCTGCAGCATTTTTGAGAGGAGTATAACATAAAGATGAGACGCAGGGGTCTGGATGGCTGGTTAGGAACCTTTGGGCTCAAGACTTCAGCAGAGGTTAACACAGATACAGCAATATTGCCACACTGCTGGGAGAAGTGCTAGCTATATTCAGAGTGAGCTGCTGGACTGCAGTTCTGAATATGCTTCTGTATTTCAGAAATAGGCATATAACTGTTGCTAACATTTCTATTCAGTGTTATTTGGTCAATTGTACTTATCAGCAAGTTGGACTAGGACTATAGCTCCCTACACATTCACTTCTCCTGAAAATAAGAAAATAATCTGTTCCGGGAGTTCAAATCTCCGACTATTTGGAAGCCAGGAGATTGCTTAGGTAACCAATTAGAGCTAATTTGTTTCTCCCATGATATATTTATAAACTTTTCATTTCATGATTAAACTCTATTGTGAATGTATGCCATTGCTCAGAACAGGAGAAAAGCCACCATGCTCTGGATGCTTTTGCCAACTCAAAGCAAAGCAAAGTAGAAATATAAATGCCTTTGTCTTCTCATTCAAGAAGTCATTTATGTTTAATATAAATGAGATACAAATAATTGGTTTAATAAATATGTCAAAGAAAAATAAGAGAAATCACAGTGGATGTCAGGATTAAAAATAGTTCAAACTGATAAATTGCAGAAGTAAGATAAAACCAGCCTAATACCAAACTTGCACAGGAACTTGATAAAATGCACTAGTTAAGGGATATTAAAAAGCAAGGGGAAAACCCTGGAAGAGAGTATTAGTGAAGCTGCAAAGGATGAATGTGATTTTGCAAAACAGGAAATTGCAATTTAGAGTCTAATACTAAAAGCCCTGCAGCTACTCATTTTAGACGTAGACTCAAATCCTGATTCACAGGATGTGATCAGCTGATTTGCTAAGATACTTTTCAGATTCCCATTGCTGAAAAGAAGAGTTAGTTCACAACATCTGACACAAGCCATGTATAACAAAAATACACCCCTATTTTTATCTACGTGTATATACAGAAAGATTAGACTATTCATTGAATTTTGATGTACACAAAGAGCATGTAGAAAGGTTCTGAAAATAAACTGGGACATATTTAAAAAGTTGAAGATATTGTTCACGAATATGCAAGTTTGCAAAATGCCAGAAAATAAAATGTTTTTAATAATATTCTAATTATTTCATAAAATATGAACAAATATGAAAGACTTGCAAAAAGCAGAAAAACGAAAACACTCATCAAGAACAAAAAAACAGCCAAAAAAGTGCAACTTTTTAACAGAGATGATGAAAGGAATATACTGTTGATATACTACCACCACTACAAAATCTCACGACCAGAGTTGAAATCCAGTGAGACTAGTTTCAGAATAGTGAAAGCTGTCATTGACAAAAGGAAAGGCAGACAAACATCAGAAAATCTCTTCTATTCAGAAGCATTTTATAGACGTTGCACCACAATGAACTAGCTAAATCTGAGCAAGCTGCATTTCCGGGTGAGAATCACTGTGCATACTAGCTATATTTAACAGATTCAACCAGAACAGCAAATACTAAAACAGTAAATCATCCTAGATTTCAAGAAGTTAATGTGAAGGTGTTTATACCGAATTGCACGGTGACTACCAGAGACGGGAAAGTTGTATCTTACAAATTAGTTTCAGAACCATTGTATTGGGTGTAGGTGCGAAGGTTTTGGTAGCGGGGGGCTTGCAGGGGTGGTCTCCGTGGAAAGGGGCCAGGGACCACTGCTTTCTTCCTAAGTTCTCCCCTCTCCTCCTGGGGGTGGGCAAGTGAGCGAGCAGCTGGATGAGAATTTGGTTGCTAGCTGGGGCCAACCCACCGCACCCATTAAAAAGGAAAAGTTAAATCCTTCTGAAAAACTGTAAAATTACCCAGTGTTGCAGCATGCTTCATAAAAAACAGGAAATAAATGTTAGTGATAGCCATAAAAACAGATGCTCTTTACTTCTCACCAAAATCAGAGTTCTCATTATTCCCTTTCAACAGGTAGTTTATTCACATAAACTTTGGTGCCAACTCGTGACCTTTGTTTGGATTCAGATTTTTTCTAACAGGTACTGGCCTGAGTGACATGTCCTGGAATGACCACAGAAAAGCACTTTGCCACAGGAAATCAAACATCCTCCAGTGCTTCCACGCATGTGGCATAAGTACTCCACTTCTCCTTCTAAATATCTGGCCAGGGCTGAGAAGTAACACTGCATAATGCAATGGCTCTCCAGCTCAGAAGTGAACGGGCACAGAATGTAGTGAGGCTATGGGGATAATGGGATTTGGTTGGTGGGGGCAGTAAGAGGGCAGGTGAGCAAGAAGCATGAGAAGCTTTGGGAAACTTCTGCTTGGCCTTTGCATTTGTCATCTTCCCACTCTCCCTGTCCCCCTCTTACACTGGATGCTCCACTCCGTCTGGCAGCCAAAGAGTACAAGGCAGCAACTTGGCTTGGGACAGGTTTTTGCATACGATGGCAGATGGCTCCCAAAACTGGGATCCCTTCCAGTTTCCCCTCTACCCTGGCCCTTCCCTTTCGTAATGTATCAGGAAAACGTACCACAGAGGCTTTAAATGTACTATTAATCAGAGCTGGGGAATCCAGGATGCCAGTTAGTGAGGAATGTGACTTCCCTCAGTGTGCTTGGCTAGCCTACACAGGAGAAACAAATGCTGGAGAAGGAAACACTCCAACATTTCTGTACTCTAGGGTCTTTGTGTGGATCTGTACTGGGCATACACGTCAAGGTTTTGGTAATGGAGAGGTTACAGGGGGGTCTCTGTGAAAAGAGGTTAGGAGCTGCCCCCGTGCCAGACACAGGAGGTTCCAACCAGCTCTGCAACAGACCCACCATAGGACACAGCTGAGCCCATCTGCCCAGTGTGTGGCACCTTCGTGAAAACACATTTAAGAAAGGGCAAAAATGCCACACAGGCAGAGAAGGGGAAAAAAAAAGGGGGGGGGGAGAATGAAAAACAGCAGGTGAACACGAAGGTCAGAGGAGGGGAGGAGGTGCTCTAGGTGCTGGAGCAGAGATTCCCTGCAGCCTATGGAAAAGACTGTGCCAGAGAAGATATCCACACTGCAGCCATGGAGCACCCCACACTACAGCACTGAATATCTCGAGGGAACTGCAGTCCACAGACAGCCCACACTGGAGCAGGCTTATCCTGAAGGACTACAGCCAGTGGAAGGACCCACACTGCAACAGGGAGGAAGGAGTGGCAGAAAGGAACTGTTATGGATTGACCATAACTTCCCATTCCCCATCCCCTCTGCACTAGTTGGGAGGGGGCAGGAGGCAGCAGAGGAGTTGGGAATGAAGGAGTGAAGCTGAGCCTGGCAAAGAGGGAGGGCAGGGAAAGGTGGTGTTTTAAATTGTGTCTTTGTTTCTCACTGATCAAATTATTTTAACTGGCAATAAATTAAATTAATTTTGCCAAGTCAAATCTGTTTTGCCCATGATGGTAGCTGGTAAGCAATCTCCCTCTCTTCATCTTGACCCACAAGATTTTTCATCCTGTTTTCTCCCCCTGTCCTGTTGAAGAAGGGGAGTGAGTGAGCAGCTGAGTGGGAGTTTGGCCCTTACCCAAGGTTAATCCACTACAGGCTCCTAGATCTAGTTACAAACAGATGCAGAAAACCCTGCTGGAAGCTTGGGTCCAGGATGTGGGAAAGGGGTATAGCTGGACAAAGTCAGACAAAGCCAGTAGTGGTTTTGCTGAAACCTGAATTGCAAGGTTCATTTATGAAAGCTAGGATAATGGATAAGTTACTATGCTCCAACGGGTAAGAAGTTAGAGTGAAGTGGCTAATGATATATATTAAGATAGGGACCCATTATCTTATTTCCCAGCACACCATTTCCTCCAAACTTAAATAAGGGTAAAGGTCTCTCTCAACAGAGTTCAGAGATTCACCAGTTAAACTGAATTCAGTCTTTTGTAAGGATTGAAAATGAGACGGTGAAGTACGGATGCTAAAATGCGATCATGACTTTAAAAAGGCAAAGTATCTTTCACGTAAAGGCAATATACACTGTAGAAGTGTTAATGTCTCACCTTTAAAGAAACACAAATCACATTCAATGCTTCCTTGATCTGAGGATGATGTGATTCATGAACTAGCTCCTCACAGATCCAAATACCGAGGCTGCAAAGAGCAACACATCTGCAAAACAATGTTGGAGGACAAGTTGTTGAGAAACATGCTACAAGAACGTGCAATTTTTGTGATTCATGATATGTCTTGCTAAAATCTAATAAATATGGTTTTAATATTTCAAAAAGAACTACACAAAAAAACTTTATAATGCTGTAACTTATTTAAAAATGAGAAAGAAATCCCAAGTACCCTGGTGAACCAACAGGAAAGGACAAAGGAAGCACCCTTCTGAGCAACTGAAAAATCCAGAAGACATCAACAACTCCTGCACCTCTATGTGCTTTTTGGATTAAAAATACTACCTAAAATCAATGTATGGGAATTTCATAGATATTTTCTTAAGACAAAGTAAAAATTCTTGTGGTGGGTTCCTCCTCCCCAACATGAGAGTTTGCTCATATTTGTTTAGAGCTTCTGGGACACAGAAACAAGAGAAGGGAATGTTATTTGTTCATAGACATTTACATTTTTTTAGACTGACAATAAACAAAGATGAATAGAGGAGGGGTAAATGAATGCTAGAGACAGTATACATATTGTCATTAAATACTTCAATTTTTTTTGTTGTTTCTTCATTTAAAATCAGGAAATGGAAAAGAAGTGTAAAGGTAAAGAGTATTTAGATAGATGTGTTCAAATCAGCAGAGATGGATGAAATTTGTTTGGAAATGTTATGGAGCTAGCTTAAGCAATCTCTGAATCATTAGTAATTATCTTCAAAAACACAGGCTGCAAATATTTTGGAAACAACTTCAGAATTCAAAATCCTCTGGATAAAATTGGAGAGCAGTCCACAATTGACAAGATGAAAGCTGGTTATGGGAACTGCAAAGCATTACATCTGGGAGGGAAAAATCATATGCTAGAACAGAAACAGAAGTGGCTATGAAGCCTGTGCTGCAGAAAAAGGATTTCAAGGCTACGCAGAATCATGAAACTGCTAACAGGTAGCAAAAATACATCTTGGAATTAATTCTACGTGATAGTGTGAATAAGATGTCAAACCACCCTGTTTTTTACACGTCACTAAAATCTCAATTGCAAGACTGCCTCCATTACGTTTTGATTAATAGAATTTAAGACTTAAGACAAGCTTGAGGGAGTCTAGGAAAAAAGTGACAAAGATCATTAACAGCTTTGGGGAATATTACATATGGAAGAAAAGTTGAAGGGTGTACTGAGTCCAGATCACAACTAAGGAAGGAAATTATAAAAAAACCTAATGTGCAGTTAAGTCACTGAAGAGTTTAATTTCCAGTAGAAAAGATTTCTCCTATACACTGGTCATAAAAACAACCTGACTGTAAAAATTACATTAAGTATTGGAATGGTCTGTCTAAGATCTTTGTAACTTTCTTCTTTGAGAAAATTTTCAGGAATTTGCCCGTTTAGGCAAGCTACTGCCAGGAATGTTTTAAACATACTCCAGGACTGGAGGAGGGAGAGCTTACAGAAGTACTCTTGGTCCCTTCCCAATTTACACTTCTGCTATTTCCACAGTATGTGTTTCAATCCTTTTTGAACAAAAGAAAGTAAGAACATAGGATAGATTTAACAATAAATATAGACAGTTTGTGTAAGCTGACTCAGAAAATAAACCTTTAGCATACAGAAGAGGAGACAGCTCTAAGTCCGTGCTACTATTTAAGGTTTTCTTCATGCTACTGAGATCCATTCCATATCTGATGACATACTGATGTGCAAAATATCCAGGAGTCTGTGAGGTTTCTACCAAGAACACCAGTTTCGCTATCATTATTCAGAGTAGTCTCTGAAAAACTGTGTAGTTACGTGGCTACAATGTTGTTACTGAAGAATCACAGCCTTAACAGCACAAGCAGAGGAAGAGATGAACACCGAGTTCATCAACCTATCACTTCTTTTTCATACTGTCAGCAGCAGGAGAGGAATTTGATTAATACAGTTATTAATCTTTATAGATGGAGATCTGAGAGTAGAATATATTTCAGATAACTGACTTCCCTGAAGCTCAGTTGGGTCAAGTATGTAATGAAATGTAAAACATCAACCCTCTGTGGAAGAGATAAGGAATAGAGATTTATAGCTTGGGTAACAATAACAGCACTCAGACTTGCTAGAGATATACAAAGCTATGTACCTAAGTTCCAAGAAATGTAAGTTCTCTCCTAGGAAACTGCAAAGACAATTAAGCCTCTACCAGTGGCTGAGCTGACATGGCAAAATCATAATGCAGATCCCAAATATGACCTCTGATAGTAACCCAGGTGAATTCTGTACTGCTGTGAAGCCAATGGTATCAGAGAGGTTATTCCCAAAAGAGACAGTGGATAAACTGCCACTGAGGAGTGAGGCAGTCAAACTTCAGAAGCTGTGGGAACATCATTATCCCCACAATGAAGACACACCCATCTCTCTCCCAGGAGGAGGAGAGTGGCAGAGGCAACCCAAAGAGACACTGGGAACCTATTCCTTTTTAATCTTCATTTAATCTTATTACACACAGTGGTCCAACTTTGCATTTTGGGGGTAGCATAACTCAGCTGTCTGAAAGGTTGGGATTGCACATGTGCCTCTGTTCCTATACACACACCCTCGCAGACAGACCGGATATGGGGACAGGCAGGATGTTCCCTTCCTCTTCCCAGCCACACTGCCAGAACTGAGGACATTAACGCTGTGTGCTTCAGTGCCACAGGATTAGTAATAATGTTCTGAACCAAATGGTTTTAAATCACTTTTTTCAAAAGCAAAGTGTTATGCTTTTTAGAACTCAGTTTTGTAAAAGAACATGAAAAATGAAAATTATCTCAGAACATTCCTTCCTACCCCTGTGCTGAGAGAGATTACCAGCTCAAGTGAAGAACAGGTAAGTGCGCTGACGAAAATTGGTCTTTGTTTTCCAGCAAAACATTTTAAGGTTCAATGAACTGATCTTTCCAGTAACATTTTTCAGGCATGTGGTTCTAGTATCTTGCATTTATTAAGTAACAATTTATTAGTTGAGCGTATATAGACACTCCGCCCAAACAGGCAAGGCACACAAGTGTGCCCTTCCTTGGTAGGCATTACAGATTTCTGTTCCAATCCCATACACAGGACTCTCTAACTGAAAGCTTCAGAGGATGGGTAAGGAGGGACAAAGTCCTAAGCAAATTAAGAAACAGAAAAGAAAACTCATAACTATCTTCTTTGAAGTTCTCTATTTGATGAAGATGCTTAGGTTTAAGCATCAGAACAATCATTCCCAGTTTAATGCTTAGCTCAATATCTTTGCTTCTTTTCCATACTGTAAAGAAAGGCTCATGTACCTTGGATTATTGCTGTTTTTCAAATAAAATCATGTGGTCTATTAAAAAATAACCATACCTCCCTCTTAAGTAATCTTGTCCTTGATCAAACTCAAAAATGCCTCCCTAGTACAGAAAATCCCTGAGCTTAACACCAGGGTAAACTGGGAGAGCACAGAGCTTATATTCTTACCCACATTAACACCCTTTTCTATCAGCCGCTATCAGAGAAAGGATACTGGGATAGACCAACATGTGGTCTGACAAAAGTATCTGTAAACAGGGATAATAACAGAGCAAACAATTCACATTCATGTGGTAGAGCACAGTTTTGACAGTGGTAAAGAAAACCATGAACAAAACACATGCAAACTATTACTTTAAGCTCTTCAATATATCCAACCCAAAAGAGAATAATAAAGAAAAGAATCCATTAATTTAGAAGCTCTTTTTGTATGACCTACCGTGCAGGACCAGATGGCTCCTCTCTTGCTGAACTTAACACAGTTTTAATTATGAGTTCCTAAAACAAAGAGGAAAATATTCACTGATTTACCAGTAACTCCACAACATGAAGCGTCAGAAAATTAGAATTTTATTATAGCACACAGAGGCATGTTGCTTAGCTGAGTCTCTAGGTTTGTGGTCAGATGGATTGTTTGCTTACCACTACCTCCAAGCTTCTAGTCTGCCCCAGATGCTCATTATTGTGCTACCCCAAGAATATCCCAGAGGTTACTGTCCTAATTTCTGCTGATTAACCATTTATGCAATTCTTGCCAATACATTTCCATAAAATATCAAGGGTAAAAAAAAGTCTCCCTAAAGCTAGCTTCTGTGAATAGCCCTGAAGGGTATTACAGAAAGTATCTATTACTTTGAGGTTTAAACAAGAAATTTTTCTCCCCTCCAAAATTATATTGATTTAAAAAGTCCTTGGAAGTAGTTTCAGAACAAGTGTCTACAGTGCCTTAAGAATGATGTCAAGAATTCTGACTTAACTGCAATGAAATATCCATAAAGCTGTAGGTTGCTCTCAATAAAGCTCAGTAAACAGCTATTAGGCAATAAGAATGAGAAAGAAGGAATTCAGAATAAGTTCCCAAAAGGGAGCAAGGTGTAAAGCAGCTTCCAAGCCATCACGTCTCTCTCGATTGAAACAGTCTGGAAACTTATGGGGAGCCTTTCTTAGACACAGTAATCATATCCGACACACATACAGCAATTAAACACACGAACTGAGCTCTGCCTGGTTTCAGTATACTGGCACACTACCCAACTCTATCATAACAGAGAGGGTAAGGTCTCCATTAATCTTTGCTTTTTGTCTAAAAGAACATACTGATGTACAGAGGTTTTCTAAAGCTCCTAGAACATGGGCAGATTTCACCAGCTGCGAATTCTCAATAAATGAAATAATGTAGCTTGAACCTCTCAATCTTCTCCTCCTCAGCTGATTAAATCTGTGAGACTGCAAATAGCCATAATGAGAGTAGGCTTGAAAAGGTGAGATAACACATTGTTTTCTTTTACAAACATAAGAAAACACTTTATTATTAAGGCAATAGCAAGTATAAAGTATGTTTAGTAGTATAAAGTTTGACAAGATTTTATGGGATCTTGAGCCTTATAATTTACTTGAAATGATTTCTGAAAAATTTTAGACTCTTAAAGTTTTAGTTCATTATTTCCTGGAACACCACCATATTAAACATATACTTGGTAGCTGAATACCATCCAAATATTCTTAAAATTCCTACCTTAACATCCGTAAACTGAGACACAGCAATGTCAGGAATGTTTGGGTGAAGAGCTGGTAGTTCATGATATAAATTGGGAAAACAGACTAGAGATCCTAAAAGAACTTGTGCTTCAACTCTGGGTGCCTAAAAGAAAAAAAGGTGGGGAGAAATATATATTCTTACTGCAATCAGGAAGCTGATATTTCTAGCTGCCTTAAAAGAGAACAATAGCTGAAACTCTACACAGCTACTTCCTTGCTCCTTCTCCAAATTCTGTAGAGCTGAGCAAACCGAGACCACAGCCCCACAGACTGCTAATCATGCATACCCCATGTTCCCATTTTCCAAGGCGGTCAAAAGGAAGCAGAGGAATTGTTAGGACTACAGACAAATGACCGTGGCGCTAATTAGGCTTGGATCTTAGGTTCAGCTAATTGAACAGGATGCGGAAAACTACTGGACATGATGTGAGGCATTGCCAGACATGGCAGGTAACTGTAGGAAGCTGACAGAGACTTCAGATAGTACCTTGAGCCAGGCTGGATTTCACAGCTGGTTAAAGGGGGAATGACGTGAGAAACAGTCAAAATTCACAGACAAGTGGAGGGGAGTATTGTGGACCTTTGAGGAAGTACAGTCATGCAAGGCCAACAACACCTAGGTAATCATATCAGTGTTACTATATAAGGCTGAAGTTGGCTGGGTAACAGTATCAGAAATACATCCAAATAGTGCAAACACTAGCAGATTCGAGTTCTCAAGCCTGATCATCAAAGTCATTGCACGGCAGAGATCTGGAGGAATCAATATACTTTTAAAATGAAGGCACAGTCAAAATGGACATTTATTTTAAAACATTTTAAAGCATAGATAAATGGCAGTCACAATTCTGAGAACTCTGAAGTAAAGGAATATTCTCTCCTTCAACAGTAATTTTTGCATTCTTCACATATTTTCTGGAAAGGACTTACATGTGTAGTGTTCTAGAATAAACCACTGACAGTATCTGTATTTGCTAACCATTACACTGAATTCTGGGGTCAAGTTAACACCCTAGTCAAGGAAAAATACTCAGTTTTCTCTCAAATCCTTTCCACTCGCACATAAATGAGAATTAACTGATGAATACTTACATTGAGGAAAGAAGAAGCAGCCACTCTTCCTGCTGCTACAATGAAATCCATAATAAGCATGGTAGCACCAGGCAAACCAAGTGAAAAGAACTGAGGAGAGCAGTGCTTGATGATTGTATTGACAATATCCTTGCATGACGGAAAAGGGAAAAAAAGGAAAAGAAGAGTATCAACAAGATGAACAGTGAATGAAAAAAAGGCAGGTATTTACCAAAGGTAGAAAGTAAAAACACAAGAAAGCAAATTAAGACACTCATTACTGAGCAAAGAGTAGCATAAAAAGATAAATTCCTTAAGTATACTCATATTAATGTAAATAAACTGTGGCATACTTTATAGATCAATTTAACCTTGGACACTATTGTACGAGGTTGGTACCAGGTCACATCTTATATTCATTTACATTTAGCTTTTAAGAGTTCTATAAATGATTACCCATTCATTTAAATATGTACATAAGAGATGTAGTGAGATAACCAGCTATTATACCTTTTTAATTACATGCTTAATCCTCTCCAACAAGTATCACCTGACTATAACTTTTAAAAAAGGTATTAGCCTCTTACATATATCCATATGGAACCAAAAAATAAAGAAAGAATTACAATAAGGTGTTTTATAACATTTCTGGTATATATTTATTCAACACAGCATATTACATTCTTGTAGACTTAGCGAGGCAGTTTTTTAAAATTAATGTACATGATGCAATTTCTTCAAAGAGAACTGGAAAAAGTATAAAATGTTTTAATTATTGAAAAACATCCCAAGTTCACAGGCAAAAAAATAACTCTTTTCCTCCTTTGAATAATTCTCCAATAGTAGTGATATCCAGCTAAATGGCAATATGTTATAGGAAGATCTGCAATCCAGCAAGAAAAGCAGGGTAAACTGGTTGTTAGAGGACAAAAACTGGAGATCTGTCCTATCCATAGCCATCTGCGGAATAACTTTGGACTAGTTCTATTTTGCCCAGTTAATGAAAGCAGGGTTGTTCGAACCTTTGATCTCCCTATGCCTCTAACTGCTCCTCAAAAAAGTTCACAAAACCAACTTCTGATGCAAGCCTTTAAAAAGTGTTTAAGCTATACACTATTTTCAGACTTCTTCATATTAAAACCTATGAAAAAGACCTAATCCCACTGATTAGAAACACTCAGTATCTCTCAGTTTGCTGGTTCCTATACTTGCTGTAGAAATAAACTACTCCAATGCAGTGAGCACAATTTAGTTTCCCACTAGCTAAACTCTTGCATCAGGGAGCAAGTAAGAAGAACAGTAGACCTTAGAGAGATCTGCTTCCTTCTCTTTCTTGTATGCTTCAATCTGTAACATACAATCAGTAAAAAATGAAAAAGTCCCTTTTCTGCCCTCATATTTGCTTGAAATGGACTACAAAAAGAGCATTTCTGATTACAACTAAGAACATGAGGGCCATTTATCAAAGTTTAGAAAAAGTATCAGTCACATAACTGTTTTCAAAGACAAAGTTAAATTACTCAGCTGAAAATCCATTCAGTATTTTTGATAAAACAATTTTATTTTTAGTTATAATATTTATATTAACCTGAATTTCGTAATTAAACTTACTTGATCAACATGAAGAAGTCCACAGTGCATTATATTGTAGAAATGAGTTAAAAAATCCCTGTTTGGAGAAACATCTTGTCTTCGCTTCATTGTCTTACAAATGAGTTTATAAGCATGTAGCTTTCCTTGTTTGTATTTATCAGTCAGCATTGTTGCCTACAGTTTTAGAACAATATTTATTATTCATAAATAAAAAAAAAACATTAAACACTCTTCTACACCTACATGAACTTCTCTGAGCATGTTTCACTGCTTAGTGCTCAAATTTACCTTGAACAACCATGGTGTTAGAATTCTCAGTGGAGGAATTAAAACTGGCGGAGATGGTGAAGTTAGGTTATCTGTTGAAATACCAAGATTGTCTCTTATCTGCAGTTATTAAAAACAAAACAAAAAGATAAATATTTACAGGAAATATATGAGGTGGTGGTTTTTTCTTTCTGAAAATCCTGCCCTATCAGGTCAGGTTGGAGAAGAGGTTCAGTTCTTTTACCTTGGCCAGATTCTGCCACAGTTCACACAGGTAATCAAAAACCTGGGCATGAATCTCTGGATCCATGATGCTGTTGACATCTCCCAAAATTCCTAGCATTCGCCTCCACATCACAGTAGCAACATCTGCGTGCCATCCGGTAAGTGTTCCCCCAGCCATCACGCTGCAACATTCTGAGGGGAATTCACTAGTTTCTGTAATGGAATAAAAAAGTATAGTGAGACCTACCTCTCCAGAAAAAGAAAAGTTCTGATACAACTATTACATACATAGTTTTCTTAAAACCAAAAGGAAAAAAAAACCATCAGGCTTTAGAGTAAGATATCTCTTACCCATTCAGCCACCTCAACACTGGATATGTTTAACTGTATGTCTATTATCAAACTCTGTAGAGGAAGAATTGTCCTGTTTCTTATATTCTTTCCATAAATAACATTTAGGGTCACTACTGAAGCCCTAATAAGGATCTGATGGACCTAGTAAGGCCACTCCTTTTGTAAGTGCTGTTTTACATTCTTTGGAGTCAATGAATCTCCAGAGCTCCACTTGCCTGTTTCAAAGTAAAATTACATTTCAACATTACATTCTTCCCAATAAAACAGAAAGATGATTTTCCTCAGAATCTACTAGGAATGTATTTTATTGCAAATTGAAGAGAAAGGTGAGAGTAAACTTGTCTCTGGATACTATTCTTTAAGCAGTAACTTTGTATGAGTGGAGAGGCAACATTCAGTAACCTAGCACCACAGCCTAACTCTCATCTAGCGCTCTCTACACACCAGTGTTATACAAATGAACATTGTTTTTTTTAGGTGGAAGATGATTAATCTAATTTGTCCATACAAAGAAAACTTCGATAGATTATGATGACTAAAGTCTACTCAGCTCACGCTTAACTAGCAAAACAGCCACCCTAAACTAGCTAACGAGCCACAGTTTTAAAGCAGCAAGCATCCAGAATCTCCTTTCCGCCCCTCTCAGACGGATTTTCAAAACACCGCAGCACCAGAATTTGCTGAGATCTTCTGAAAATCTCACAGCTCCCACAGTCATACAAAATCAAAGTTAAATCTGAATTCAGCCTAATCACATAGCCTCTTCTTTTGAAGATCTGGACCACTGTGGTAGAGACACTAATGGTTTCTAGGCCGTAGATTTCAAAGTACAAAGCAAAATGATGATATTTCTGCCCATCAGTATGCTACTTATAGGAAAAGGGTCTGAAATATACATCAGACACTCTCCTGTTTCCATGAGGCCAAATATGGGAGAAATGGGAACTTCGTATTTACAAAGTGAATGTAACCTAGAATTCAATAGCTGAGATAGTTGAAGTAATTATAAATTTGTTTAAATACGAAAGGGAAAAGAACCAACCTTCCAAGGAGAAATTATAACATTACTTTAAAATTATGTCTTATTATGTACATCAACGATAACACAGGCCGTGGCAGGATGACATACTAGATTAAGCTGCCACGACTCTAAGCATCAAAAAGAACAATTACAAATGTGCGGACTATTAACCCACTGCTAATAATTCCAGTGAAATGCAAGACAAAATGCAAAAGGGTTTTGTTTGCTTTTAAAGGAAATTGCTGCAATTAAATATTTTAAAAAGTGCAGATGAAATAGCCTTGTACATGATTGTTTACAAGTAAGGTGATACTAGCTACTTCACTCTATTGCATTCGAAAGAAAGAAAGAACAGATTTATATTTTCTATTCCAGATATTGCCTAGGTCATCTGGCGTCTGTAAAACAGAGTGGTGGAGCTTCTCATCCAGCTGCAGATCCTTCTGCTCAATATGATCTGCATGAAGAGTGGCAGGAGAGGGTGTCTGTGATCGGGATCCAAGAGCAGATTGGATTGGAGAAGCACTTTCAGAGCCTGCAAATGCAATTTTTAACAGTTACCTTAAAAGCCTTTTCTATTTTCTTGAGCTACTGAAATGTTGTCTAAACATAGCATTAAAAGAAAACTGAGCTACTTTTATATATCAAATTGGGCCAAGAAAAGATATAAAAACTGTAAGCAGATCTCTCTGTGAATGGTGCTCTGAAAGAAAACAAATTACATGCAGGAAAGCTGAGAGATTAACATAAAAATCAGATAGGTAAATGGATTAACAGAGCTCTATTTTAGGTCCAAATAATTTTAAATGTGTTTGTTCTGCAGCACTTTCAGTGTTCTGAACCAGTCAAATTTCTCTCCACATTCCCTCACCTAAATTTCTCTCCGGCAAAGTGTTTAAGCAGAAATTTTCCTGGAACATCTGCTTTTCCAGGTTTATGGATGCATGCAAGTTAATTTACAAAATATGAAAGCTTAAACCAGTAACTGACAATATTTGATGTTTACCTGCTCATTGGGCTGAGAAAATCCATATGGAGGCAAAGTTCTGTATAGTTAGAGGAATGTTATTTCCTCTAAGACAGGGAAATACAAGTGTTTGAATGGCAGTGCTGCAAAGGCATTTTTCCACCATCACCCCTCAGCAACCTCTCTAGGCAACTATTTGGTTGATCTACTGAGAGATCTGTGGAGAGGGAGTAGGTACTTGTATTTTTCTTCTGCACTACCTTAGTTTCACTTCCTGAATTTGCCTAACGATCCTTATAAAAAGCTGAGTTCAGTCAGAACAGTCAGATGGCAGGAAAAAAGAGAACAGATATTCACCACATACTGCCCTACACATCAGCACATGTTAAAACAGAAGAATTCAAACCTATTTTAACTCTTAGATACACGTAACTGGGACCCAAATATATTATGTGTGAAGTTCAGTATTAGAGAGAAACTGAACTTTAGGGACAGTCAGTCTTTTAAAAAACTGGCTGGGAAGTGTTTTTTCTTGTAAAGAGAACAAATTGTCTAAAGAACTTGACAGAAAATGTCAGTGTTATCAGAACAGAAATTGTGGTAAACAAACTTAATTACATTGTGGAACTGCAAAGGCCTCTGCTTTAAATGGCAAAGGCAATGAAGCTTTTACCATCAATTTAAATCAACAGTTCTGTGCAAGAGAGATGGACACTACTGCTTCACACACAGACTACTGTTTCACTCAACAGGTAATGACACTCTCCTCTCACTACTGATCAATTGTTTTCCACATGCTCACAAAGATAATGTAAAATACACACTTAAAAGAGGTTCAAAGAAATCTTTTCCTACTTCTCTTCCATTCTGCTCATTAAGCGGGGATGGATGAAAGCAGACCAACAGAAAGAGCGAGGGTGGGCAGGGGTGGAATAGAGAGGGACGGAGAGGGAGGGACAGAGAGTGAAGGAAAGGGAGAGAAAGAGGCAGGCGGGGGGGAGGGAAGTAGAGAAAGAGACCTTCATATGATGGAACAGAATGGCCAGAAATAATTATGGAAAACTTGCTGAACTACTGGATTCTTCTAAGAAGCCCTAAAAGATACTCCAGCATCCGTGGATCCAGATTTGACAGAGAATACTATGGGTGCAACTTGTTCTAGGACTCGTAAACAGCAATCAATAGTAAACTCAATCATTTGCTAAGAATATGAAATAATGCACATATATATATATGCCTATATATGCCAAGAAGAAATTTTCCTTCCAAAAACCTTCAAAGCAGAACTATTTAGCAACAAGTCATTTTCTGAGCAGCAGAACCACTGAAAATTCATTTCTTAGAAGTGTGTTTTGAGGTTGAGTTTCTGCGTGGATTTGCTGGTATCTAATACAGTGAATTCACATTGCAGCCTCCCTGTCACGGGACTCTGCATACATGCAATTTTCACTAGATAGCTGCCTATCTTTCATAAAATTTCAAAGAAAATAATGTCTTTCTGTTTTCTCCCTATACGTCAATTTAGCAGAAATTAAACAATGGGCTCCAACATTGTTGGGGGCGTGGAACAGTCAGAGACAGAGACAGACAGTGTAATTGCACAAGTCTTGCTTCCTCAGGAAACCCAGCTAAATGCATGTGACACACAAAAGCTGCCTCTCTAAAACAGTGGTCCAAACAACAAGAAGAGACAGCCACAGAATCTCTCAATGGACAGCTCAGTCATTAGTTGCAATCTTACCAATTCAATTATACTGCAGACTTGGACAAAAATACCAAACAGTAATGAAATTATTAACATATAAAAACAAACAAACAGAAAAAGAACAGATTTTCTGCAAGGACTTTCAACAAGCACATAGCAAAGAGAAAAATGAAGAGAACAAAAGTCAAGCTGAACATTGTTGAACAAGCTGAACAACCATGTCCAAGAAAGCTAATACCATGCTTCTTTCAGCAGAAAGGCAATTCTAGAAAGTGAAAATTGTAGCAGGGGAAGTAAAGATGTCTTTCAATGTCTCTGAAAACGCAGAGTTTGATTTCTCACAGAGAACAAGACACTGTATGTAGGTATAAGCTTTCACAGATAAATAGGTACTTGTTCCCAGGGTTGTAACAGGAATGGGAGTGCGTAACAGTTACGGAACAAGGAGTATGAAAATAACTATGGACATCCTTACTTCTCATTTACAAAACCTGGCAAGAGACTGTTCTTCCAAATACTCCTCAGAGAGGGAGATTCTCTCTTTCAGAAAGGAGCCCATTCAATTTGGGTTAACTGCATCACTTGGTTGTTGCTAACCTAATGGCCATTCTACCTCTCTTTCTCAAGAAACAGTTGCAAAGTACACTGGTGGAGCCTCAAGCTCATCAACTAAGGCTGTGAAACGCTGTTTACTTTTTGATGAAAACAACGGGGAAAGTACTAAAAGAAAAAGAATTAAGTTACACAAATGGAAACTGATCTAGCATGGCACAATAACGAACATTTTGCATATCAAAAGCTTCCAGTTACACAAGAGACAATATAGAGAGTGGATAAGATGGATGTATATAAAAGAATCCCATGATACTTCAGTGTGATACAGTGGTTTGAAAGAGCACTGTCAAAGCCCTCCAAGGAAAAACCCTTTCCTGAAAATTAGCTATTTGACTACGAATAATAGAAGGACACTTGTAAGAGATCTAGCGTACATTATATGGTAAGAGTTTTCTCCCTGGTAATTGTATAGAATTTCTCATGAAGGGTTTAAAATACATTTAGCACCAAGCCAAGGATCATATGGGTAACTAAGTCAGACAAGGGGTTTCCACTTATGTTATTTTGCACATTACTTTTCAATAGCAATCAAAAAATAACTGAAATCTGAGAACCATCTTATGTAGAATACAGACTCATCGCAGAAGCTGGAACTTGCATTCTTCAGGATGGGTGGAAAATTTCTGAAATAAATGTGCTTTTTTTAGAGTTTTTTTTTTAACTACTTTACCAGTAATAGTTGCAGCTTCAGCAGACAATGGTTGCTGATTGAGACTACTTGTTTCCGAATCTATGTGGAGTGTAGTTAGACTGGCCACTTCTTGCTCCTCGGCACTCTGTTGCTGTCCTGAAATTGCATCAACGTCAGTGGAAGCTGGTGTCCCTGCCTCAGTGCCAAAGCTGAAATCTGTATGACGAAAGCACTGTATTAACTTACAACCTAAAAACACCACTAATATAAAAACCAAAAGCCCAGCACCTCCAAAATCCTCCATGTAAAACTTGTATGTGCATCTCCTACGTTACTAACACACTGTTGCAAAATTTACATAAAATGCAACAGGAGAAAGTAATTGACTATTATGAATATTCTCATTTCTGTCGCAAAACTGTGACTGTACTTCTGGAGAAGACTTGCCTATTGCATGTCCTGTATTCTGCTTAGTTGCTGCAAGTGCACCTACATGGGAATAAAGTAAAAATAATGGAAACATACATTAAAGAATTTATTTGCTAAATTCACAAGCTGGAAGAAATATCCAAGTTGGGTGTTAAAGCACTAACTTCAAATTAAAAATATTATGGCAAATGATATTCTAACAAATGTTTTTTTCAATAGTAAAGACAAAATGTCATGCTGAAATGTAGGTTTAAATAACATCACTTAGTTGCATAACATCTATGTATCTAAAAATTGTAATTTCTTCAATAAATTCTGCCATATAAACATTATTTTTTTCTTACACAATACATGAAGTCATAATTCCTAGCAAGCAGAATGACACCTTCTGTTGAACCAAAGTGGGAATAGACAAATGAAATGAATGAAAAGCATTATGTTATTAAACAAAGCATACTAATTTTACCATGATATTATACTTGACTAATCTACAGCTACACAAAGACCGCTGTAACAGTATCAGAAGCCCTTCTTTAAATTTTGCCTAAATGTTTTCAAAAGAATTAAAAAAACTTCCAAAATAAGTAACCTTTCATTTTTATATTTTCTGCAAAACAGACTGATACGCTCCAGGGAGAAGACAATATTGCTTTCTAACTTCTGTTCACTGTTGTTCTGCTTTTTGCACAGTAGTATTCCAGTGCTGTTTTGCTTAGTATACTATAACATTATAGCCTCTCTCAAGAACTCTGCTTGCTCCATTAACTTGCTAATGATTTCAATGGGAAATGAAAATAAGCTGTTTTTACAGAAGACTGCTAGCATGTAAGCAGAAAAAAAAAAAAAAAAAAAAAAGAGAAATTTGCAAGCAATCAATCAGAAATACTACTACTTTTGGAAAAATATACTTGCTTTCAAATTTGCGGCCATCATACTGGAAGGCGCTGAAAGAGTCAGAGTGGCTATCTGAACTGATGAGGTCACTGCTGCCTGCGCTGGCAGGTGATGTCCACTCGGAAGGCACGCCTGGGTCATCTATAGGACGCATTTGGTTCTGTTTGTTCAATATATCAGGAAGGTCTTTAGGAACTTCCAGGCTGCCAGGACTGCTTCCTCTTCTTGTCACATTCTAAACATTGAAGAGACATAAATTATCTTACAATCTTGGATGGCTTATTTACATAAAATGGAAAAAGCAATCCCACATTTGCAAATGTCAGAATGTAACCAATAGCTCATAAGGACCTAAACCAGAAATTGTCATCATACTACATACATAGCCAAGACTTTCCAAAACCCCAGACAGGCAGCAGAATCCATGCAGTCACAGAATTTCATAAATACAAATTTTATGTGCACAATGAATTTTTGGGCACCTTAAAAGGCTAGGATTCAGACTAGCATGTGCCACACACGTATTAGGTAAGACTTAAGAGAGAAAAATAGTAAAAAAGTCTATTATCTCCAGATTATGTCTAAATTACTAAAGAAAACTTGTTAACCTGGGTTCCAGACACAAGCAGAAAAAAATGTCAAGGAATTTTGTGTTTTCTGGCCTATAGGCTACCATGCTATAAGCAAAAATTTAATGTACACCACAAGCAAATGAATTTACTAATTCATCCATTGATTTTCTTATGATTAAGCCAAAACCTTTGTATTGACTTGGACACCAAAGACAGCATATAGCAGAAATAAGGCATATAGAGTCACTCATGTAAAAGTAAGGTGGTGTTCTACTTGGAGTCTTTCTTTAAGCCATTTTTTTCCACAGATAGGACTGTTTGCTTGAGAGGGAAAAGAGATAAAAGCAGAAAAGCCATTTTATGAAACAGCTTGAAATCTTTATGCATTACGAGACTGAAGATGACTTCCTTTTACACTAGGCCCAGTCACTTCTCTATTCTTTTACTACCCTACTACTAACTAGAGACTTACTCAGACTGACAAGCTTTTCATGATACAAGGTTTTAGCATTCAATAGATAATAACAACCTAAAACTAATCTTAGTAAGTTGGTACTCTGTTTTAAGAAGGCATATCTATTTTTGTGTGCTAGATCACAAAATCAGTGGCAGTTTCAAAATATTTATTCAAACTTATCTTGGCTGGTTTTTGCTACCTAAGGAAAGTATCAATTCTCTTGTCTGAACTATTAATAATCAATATTCTTGCCCATCTATGTGAAAACAAATAGTATTCACTCTCCTTCTCTCTTCTTCTGTGGCCAGCTGTGATGAATTCTGCTTTATTAATTTGCAGACTAAGTTAACATTTTTTTATAACTTCAATTTAGTATTTTTGTCTTGTAACTCAAGACTTACTAACAACAACACTTTGCACCAACAATCAAGTTTCATAAACATGAGTTCAATACAAAAGAGAAAAAAGCGTACATTTGGACAAACTCTATAGGTCCCCTCTTGTCATTTATAAAAGATGATGATAAATAAAGAAATTTTTCTAATCGCTTTGAAGAATCTTCTTCTGCCCCTTACTAGCAACAATGAAACTACTTGTTGATGACTTTCTAAAGGAGCATGTCTTAAAATGACCTTCTTAAAAAAAAAATCTTAAAAAAGTCTAAGCAGAAAAAAGAATTGAACAACTTTGAAACGCTACATTTAAATTGTTACCCATTCTGTTCTTCATTTGCAACAATTTTTTTTAGTATTTCCCCTTTCGTTGCTGGTTAATAAAACATTATCTCTTCAAATCAGCTGTCTTGCTCAGTAAGCATTCAACAGTAACCAGAAATTCTTGACTTAAAATTGATTAAAATTTCTCTTTATGAATGACATTCCAAACAACATGACACTTCTGGAAAAGTGTAGGAAGAAAGCATATGAAAAGTTGGGTCAATTAGCAGAGAACTATTTACAAGTAACCATTCAACACTTGTAAGTGAAATAAAAAAAATGAAGGAAAAACATATAACAGTGTAGTTTCATAGTCTGTTGCACTGACTATAACTGTAGAGAACAGTACCATACTACAGCATGGTACCTAACTACATACCACACTGAGGACTGCAAATTTATCATATAAACTATTATTCTGAAAGTGTCTGTGTACAAAGAGCTTTACAGGTGTATTTAAGGCCATTCAATTCAATAAGACTATTCATCTGACAGCAACTTCTGCACTGCTTCCACAATGAAGATTTAATAGATATGAAAACACAAATGGTATAAAATGGCATGAACCTATGTCAAAGGCAAGGAATAATTAAGTGATATTCTTTATTCTTTCTGATTCATAAAATCCAGAGAAATATGTTTTAGTGAACTGATTTATAACATCACTGATGAGTTCACGCATACATGCAGACTTATATATTGAAATGCAGGAAGTTTAAAGGCTTACCAGTGCACTACCACTGCGGAGTCTCTCAGCTATAAATTCATCCATGAGGTCAGGAACATTTGTATTGCTACTGCCAATATCACTATCAATAGGGTGCAGCTTTTGACTCATGTCCTCTCTATTAGCTAAAAGCAAATGAACAACTGCATATAGTAAAGAACACATCAAGACAGTTTCAAAACAAAAGGTAAAAAATGAAAAAAACCCTGCTAATTAACAGAAGTAATAAAACCCCAAATTGCCAAACATGCATTTTAAGAATTTCCTTCTTTTAAAGCAGATTCTACTTTAAGAATTAGTACGGCTTCTTCTTCCCACTAAGCAGGGGTTAGTCGATTTCCAGTACCACCTTTAAGAGCAAGAAGCTTATAGGTAAGCACTACTCAAAGTTGTTAATGCTTGCTTTAAGGATACAGCATATATTCTTCCTCCATATCACAAAAAATAAGTCCTAAATCCTAAAAATTTTATATGATTCCTACAAGCTCCTTCTTCATTGCATTTCTAATGAAGAGCAACGTAGTAGAAAACGTAAACTAGGTTGTAATATGTACTAATGACAAATGTCAATGTGGCACCGTATACAGTTAGTATAAATAGTGCAAAGAAAATCTTATGTAAGAAAATTACATGCTAGTACATGGAATGAAAATTCAAACTCTGGATAATCAATGGTTATGAACAATTAATTAAGTTCACTCATTTATCAGTGTTACATTTTTGATATCACTATACTGTTCATATTTAACTGTGGCTGTTACACCTGACTTCATGATCTTCACCTTTAAAATCTTCAAGCTATTCCAGTTCATGCTTTCTCTATAAGAATTTTTCCCTCAGTGTCGTCTCCCATGAGACCAGAGTGTAGTTTATTCTAATATTGAGGCTCTGTTAAACGTTACAGATTTCAAATAAAATGTACTTGTAAAATTAGTGCTTTCTAGAGATCTCTTTTTCAGAAGTCTAGATTCTGCAGAGAAGCAAATTGCTTTTTTGAGACCCATGACAGTCACGCTCTCATGGTGCTATGCTTACAAAGACTGCCCTCAGGTGGCATTAACATCTTGATGCAGGCAGGATGCATTATAGAATCCTCTGTTAATCATGCCAGCATAACGATGGGAAAAAAGAAAACCTACATTACTGCTGAAAGTTAATTTATTGTTCATTTAAGGTTATTTAAGATGTGAACTAAGACAATGGATATTAGAGTGACAGCCTTCTTTTTTGATCAGTCCACAGAGGTCTCACAGTTAGCAAGAGAAGGACTATCATGAGACCTTCATGAACATCCATGATTCCAAGAAAAGAAAGCAATGAAAGATGTTGCCAAGATGTAACTGCATCCATTTTGATGGATGAATACAGAAAGGCCTACAGCATGTTTTGAAAAACATTCAAACAAAACCTTATGATTAGACTCACAGAGAACTGTCGTAATTAAATCATTCCAGTCATAGGTTTCTGTTTAAGACTATTTTTTAAAAGTTATCTAAACTGGCCTCCAAATGTAAATTTGAGGGGCTTTTTTGTTTTGGAGGAGGAAAAGGAGGAAGAGGAGGAGGAAGAAGAAAACACACTAAATGAACCAGAAATAGAATTAGTTCAACCTAGCTGGTCGAGAGCCAGGTCCTTCTGACAAACAAACTACACTCAGAGTGGAATAGCACATTCTGATAAAATAGGCATATGCCAATCATTCAGTAGGCTGAATTTTAAGGCTCTGCATGGTAGATGAAAATTCAAAACTGTCAAGGCTCAATCCTTTATTAGGTCATTTACTGTTTCTTCCTCTTCCCTAACCGGATGGTCTTCAGCAGCAAAGAGGTTCAACTAAATATCTTGAAAAGGGAAATTAGTAATTTAAAGTAATTAAAAGTAACTTATGCTGGGAGAAAAATCAGCTGGCTGTAGGCGCATGCATAACCAAACAGGGAAAGCAGTGATCATCCCAAAGCCTTTTGATTGCTTATCAGAGCTTGCTTCAGTTGCATTAAGCCAAACTGGTGCTGCCTTTCTCCTTTTGCGCTCTGCACACTGTTACTGCTCACCTGCAGCTTTCCTTCCAAAATAGCCCATTACATGACTGTACAGATCCCTCAGTGGAGCCTCTGCTGGCATTCTGTTCTGCCTCTGTGGGGAAACATTTGCCTTCGGCTTCGAAAGAGCATGTACAACAGTTTTATAAACACCACCCAGGGAGCCCTGCTGTTGCGCTGACTCCTGACCTGATGCTCTAAAGGCACTACGATTATGGAACTGGTTAACTGCAATACCTTCTTTTTGCAACATGGCTGCTTGAGTTTCTGTAGATTCCTTAACTTGCTTGCTGCCAGCTGAAGCAGCATTGATCGCATCTAGAGGTCTATACATTCCAGGTCTAACCAGCTCCGGGACAGCTGATGAGCTGGTGCTTGCACTGGTACTGCTGTTGCTGCTACCACTACCACTACTACTGAAGCCACTGAGTTTACGAAGTCTTGCTTTCCAAGCGGCCTCTTTGCTCTCAAGAGGATTGTAAAATTGAACAGATTCTGTAGATGGCCTAAAAGTAACATGAACGCTATTTCTTTTTTTAGTCGTTATTTTCATGATTTTGGCCCTATGAGTTACGGTTTCAGATATACTCCTTTTAGTTGGTGACAGTTTGCTTGTGCCTGTGATGTGAGGCATTTGAGGGTTAACTTGTGCTTTAGGAAGGATTTTCTTTGCATGCGTAACACGTGAGTTGGTTACTTTTTCGTTAACCTGGGAACTTTTATGCTTTTCAGCTACCGCTGCTTCCACAGCTAAATCTACATCAGCTTCAGTGGCTGCTTGCCTGTACAGGTATCTCTTCCCTTCTTTGTTGCTAGGACTACTTGACCCATGATCGAACACGCTTTCATATTGTTTATCGATATTTAACTGTCTGGCTTTATCAAGCGCTTGATTTCTTGTAAAAATGTCTACTTGAGTAGGTGCAATATTACTTATAAAGCCACTTTGGTTTTGTTCTAGGTGCAGCTCTGTGTTATCGGCTCTTTCTGCAACAGTGATGCTATTCATGCATTGACCGGTCTGATCTCTATTTTCTAATCCATCCAGTGGTAATCTATCATTCCTATTTACTGATGTATCAACTTCGTGAGCAGAAGCCTCACATTTATCTATCTCAAAGTTACCGCAAAGTTCTTCTTTTTCTTTAAGATATTCTCTCAGAGAGGAAAGGAGATCATCTTCACCTTCAAGGTCAACATACTGGCTTTGTTCAAAGGCTGTGTTTGCAAATTCTACCGGCCCTATTAAATGACAAAGATGGTCATAAATACTATCCCCAACTTCCAAGGAGGACTCTCTGCTATTTGTATCAGTGATATGGCTTTCAGTGGATCTATGCATTGAAGAGGTCTCAGTGGAACTCTGTAAGCTTGGAGCATGATGGGATGAACTGTCAATGACAGGAACTGCACCTTTGGCTCGTTCAACTGCAAAAGGTTCCAGGATGTCAGAGGTGCTGCTGCTTCGTGGCAGTGGCTGTTCCTCATTTAATGCACCAAAAACTTCACTTGGAGCATCCTCACTCTGTGAAAAATGTCTGACTCGAGGTGGACGTGGAAGAATTTGAGCATCGTCAATGTCTGGAGGAAAAAAGTATATGTAACATGCACTAAAATTTACATACAGAGACAATATCTATTTACCACTACATCCTAATTACGTGACTTTAAAAGCCAGGAAAGTCCAGAGCCTTGTTTTCTTAAGTACAACAAAAATATTTTTTCCAGTACTAGAGTGTTAAAAACACACGCACATAATATCCAGTACAGAATGTAATATAAATGAGTTAGACCATCAGAACACAGTTTTAAATGTTAACATGCATGAGAACAAACAGTGAGACCATGGAACGTTTGGAAATACAGTTAAAGCTAGGGCTGTGCCAATAAGTTCAATAATTCAACCAATATTATTCCAGCTAGCTTATTCAGGAAATGGCTACCTGGAATACAAATTAGCTTAACAGTAGTACCCTTCATGGAATTTACATCTTCAGAAAAATGCACAACTCCAAAGAGAACAAGTGAGTTTCTGGAAAATTAGAGGTGTCTATTGAAGTGGCAAACTATTACTTTTTTCATAACTTGTGTCAATATATATAAATTACTGAAATATCAGAAAGAATACTACCATACAATTATGAATATTATGGCATATGTAATATAGTGTATACCTAAAGACTAAAGCTTTTAAATGACAGGGAAGAGCTGGCCCTATACAGAAAAGATGCCTATACATAATGGGTAACTTAAAGATATACCCTTTTTCCCTAAAAGGATGCTTTGCCTCTCATCTTCAAAATGCAAAACTAAATACTAAGTGGAGGCTTATTTCCCCCCTCTTCTTCTAATTTTACTCAAGCAAATGTGGCATTTATGAGAATTACCAAATTAAGGACTCTGCTACTGAAAAACATCCTGCAGCCTCACAACAGTTAACATTAGAGTAAAACCACTTTTGTTTATGAAAAGACCAGAACATTTGTTACGACCATTTACATCAGTGATTCCTTGTCTCTGTTGAGACTGCTAATATGTTAGCATCAGTACAAATCCTAGTCAACTGTAATGAAAGCTGCAGTTCCAACATGGATCACCTAGGAATTGTACAGAATTATCTTCAGCTCACTTCACATCATCCACCAAAATAAAGAACCTTCACACTCCTCTACAGATTTCCTGATATGTTATAGGAACACTACATACTATCAAATCACCGATGTAGGCAAGACTGAGTATCTTTTACAGACAATCCATCAATTGCAAGAATTTGAGCTATCCCTTGCAGTCTTTTTACACAACAGGTGCTTGAACAGTACAGTAAAAACAGCTTTCTCAATTTTCTGTCGATTTCTTTTTGACAGAATCTCTTATTTCCCAGATTTATTTTTTACTACCTACCACTTAAAAAGTTGTAGATATGCTTTTAAAGTCAGGAATAACAATAAATAACTTAAATGAACACCAACAAGAGTTACTTGCCACAATTAACAGACTTACCTTGTTGTTCTATTTAGAGAGTTTATCTTCAGGACTGCAAAGGTGAATTTACTTAAAATCAGCACAAAATTTAAGCCCCTTTCCCTCCCCTAATGCTGATGTGTTATTTATTGAAATAAATATCTCAAATTATTACTTCATGGATCTCTACACTTATTTCAGTAATAATAATAATCTGAAGTCACCTTAAAAACCTGTTTTAAAGTGCTCATACTTTTCTGAGAATGTTAGAGCTGGAACCAAATTTTCTCACATTTTCCTTCTGAGCAAAGCATATGAACCGGAGGAATGAGATACCTCTGTACTCCACTAAATGTATGTGTTGGAAGAAAATGAAAAGTGGTATTTCCACGCTCAATTTTTCAGAAAGTTAAAATTTGAAAATTAAAGTTTGGCCTGATACAAAGTTTACTGAACTGTAAAGAAGCCACTAGACAGGAAATAGAGAGGTTTATATTGGAAAAAGAGAGTAGACAACCAAGCTGTTTCAGAAAATAAACGTGAACTGAAAATCATCATATACGGCACAATTTATTATCCCTTTCCTCTCTCTTCAGCTTTGATAATCAACAAATTTGTTGTCATTGTTGTTGTTCAACTTATTACTAACTATATGAATTAACACGCTCTGAAATGAATGGTGTCTCTCTCTAGTTGGAACTGTTATTTCAAATTCTCTGTTGACTTAGGCAGAGATTAACACAGGTTATGCTTACATAGTCTCAAAGCTATTTCTTACAGCTGCAAAGAAAGGACCATAGGACTCAGCCAAAAATATGTATGCTAATGTTATATATGAGATTAATATATGTAACTATGATACACCGATCTCATCTTGAGCCCTCAATATGCATCTTTCATACCTTTTATAAACTCAAGCTTATCTAAAGCAGCAGCCTGAGGGTTGCACACTGCGCACACATGCAGTGATTATGATTTTCTAGGATGTTAAAAATTACTGGATGGAGAACTCCAAATGCACGCCAAGCAGCTCCACACATTGAAATAAATTCAGCTGGATTTATTTCAGTGTTGATCCAGTATTAATTTTAGGTGCTTACATATGCATGACTAGCACATACAAGTACACAAACGTTTTCAAACAAACATGTAGTGCTTGTGCCAATAGAGATTTCTGTTTTGTAGAACAGAGGAAGAAATTAAGGAAATGAAGAATATACTGTTATTGCAATATCAGCACTGAAAATATAGACAATGTTTAAAAACCCAAACGAACAGCTCCTTCACAACCAGGGCTCACCCTCGCATACATGTATACAGTCAATCTGGGACACCAGCAATTCCTAAGGAGTTTTCACTAACTACATTGCAATTGTGCGCCAGAAGGCTGTGTATCTGACACACCTCACGTACTTAGGAAAAACGCTGGCCTGGCTCCTAATATGTTACACTGAGGAAGAGATTGAAATGGGTACTTCAAGCCAATCTCACCCAATCACAAGTTTCCTTAAATCATCCTTACCTCTCCTTTTTCTGCTAGAAGGCAGAAAGAAAAGGTAGTTTTTCAGCATCAAGTGGGAGACAGATACGCTAAAATAGCAACTCATGCAGAGACACATCCTGGCAAGACAGCATGAGCGCAAGCAGAAGATTCCCATGTAACGTTGGGACAGGATTATATTTCATAGTGGAAAGCTAGTTCAGAAAGTGGAGAAAAAATAACATGTTTTGCTTCTGAGCTTTCATTTCGAACACACTAATTCTGTGAGTTTCTGGGATTAAAGAATAATTACAGCCATGTTGACATTACAATTATGACTTTGTATTTCATCTCGATTACTGAGTAGGGAGCAAGGTTGTAAAGGCATAATATACATCTCCCTTTCATGTTAATACTTCCTTTGATGCTTTTAGTCCCAGTGGATAAGGAAAAATCTCCCACCTGCAATTCATCAGACTGTCATTGTGGCCCACTGCTTCCAGGAATCTTGCCTACATCTCACCGACACTTTTTCACAAGCTGTCTTTTACCTGAAAATCCTCAACAGGAGCAGGAATGAATCATTATTTTGCTAGTTATCCTGTAAATGTGTAAGACTGGACTTCCTATGATTCTAACAGGTTAAAAGAAAAGTTCTATTTAGAAATATTGCAGATTTGCAACAATTGCACTATACCAAATCACTTTATTAACTAAACATCTTAAAGCATAAATCACCACTTCCACTTTCTGGAACCTATTTGAAAAGTTGCAAATATTCTGCACATGGAAATACAGCATAACTTCATAACTACATGAAGGGATTACAATCTTAGGAAAAGCATCCTCTATGATGCTAGATGACTAGACGTCAATACTGAGCTTTTGCAATAAATTTTGTTAACCTGCTGACTGATCTTCAAGCAGAAGCATTATGTCTCAATAAAAAACAAATTACAGTGGGGTGTTCTGCCTTCCTCTTGAAAATTAATATACTATACTGTCCATTAGGTAAAGGTTTTGGCATAAATGCTTTCTTTTGGACTACCTGTCAAGATTCACCAGTGTTCAGTGAGTCAATCTTTCAATGAGGAGTTTCACAGCTAAAAAGGAGCTGAATACTACAGAAAACTTAAGATTAGGGCATCCTATTCTTTTGGAATCATTTGAAATATCCTCTCCTTCGAGTTGCGTTGGATCTGAAAGTCAATTTGGATAACAGGGATATTCATATAGTCATGAAAAGAGGAAGGGCTGTCACAGCAAGCTAAATATCACTCATTACCTACATTTCTGACAGAAACAATTTGATTGAAGGCAGGTAGGAGAGACAGAAAAGACAAAAAAACCCCCGTATCTTCCATAAAAAAATTACTGCCATTAAGTCCTTATATTTGTATAGAGTTTTGACCATATATAGAGAGAATCCTCCCACTGTGCTTTCATTTTTTTTTCACTCATTGAGACAAAGGCATAATATGATTGCCAGCCTTACACGCTACTAATTTACACCAATGTAATAGCTGGAGCACAGGGAAAAAAAAACCATTATCTGTAAACTTTCATGCATGCATTTTTAAAATCTGTGCTAGTTCTAATTGCTGAACCTATTTGTACAAAGAAAATTATCCAAAGAAAGCTACCGTCAAACTTCTAGCCAACCACTGTGCTGGACCAAACGTAATGTTGAGGAAAACTACAACTCTTGCGAAAAATGGATCATTTGGAAAACACCACCAAAACACGGCACTTCAAAATTCCAAACGGTATAGATTTTTTAATGTTTTTATATATTAATGAAAACCAGGCATACTATAAAGCATATTATATGATACCACATACTTCAGACATTCTTTTTTCATGGGAGCTGAAGTATATTATCATGGTTGTCCACACAACATCTATGACCGAATTCAAAAATTTACGTAGAAAGATGTAAACAGCAAGTCAAAGTAAAATTATGTTCTTCTTTTTCCTCCCTCACTCATCACAGATAAAAACCTTAGATTAGTTGTACTCTCTGGTAGATGGATGCTATATTACTGCTTACCAATAAATTGAAAAAGCAAAAGTTTTCTCTATTTTTCCCTTTTATGATAGTAAACATTGGCACAGCACTAACTTCCAACAGTTCCAGAATGAATTGCAAAATAGCATGGTATTTTACATAACTCAAAATATTCATTCTTAATCTCTTCCCCTCTCCCCCCATCCCCCAAGTATTTTTACTTTGAAAAATTTAATGATTTAGCAGAATTTGAAAGCAGAAGGTTTAAAAAAGTGATAAAGGGGGTGCAGAAATTAGCAGAGGTGGCACTACCTGAAAGCTCATCAGAAAGGGGAGTGAGAACAATATCAGGCAAGAAGGGTTTGGAAGTATGGATCAGAACAGGAGCACTTTTAGCACTGCGTATATAGGCCGATGGCAGAGCACATTCACCAATGGATCGGCTTCTCATGGCTTTAAAAAGGAAAAGAAAGAAGTGGGGAAGGAAAAAAGAAGAGTGACTATAATGAAAGGCTTGTGTCACAGAAAAAGCAGCAACAGAGAAAACAAAGATAAAAAGGAAGAAAATTCAAAAATTAAAACATTTCAGCACGGCAGATATTGGCAGAGCTGTAAGAAAGAAAAAAATCAGTGGACACATAAGACATTTTGAGTTTTTAACTTTTATGTAAAGCAGCAACAATGCCTTTATTATGACGATTACAGAGATTTTGCATTCAAAATCAAGAAACTAATTCACACTTTTTTTCCTATTGCATCAGGGGTTGAAAAATCAAAGTTAAAGCCACTCCACAAGCACTCAGAACTTGAAATTTTTTAACAGAAAAAGCGACTTACACTACATTTGCATTTTTCTAGTTTCCTTTGGTTTACTCCTGAAAAAGTATCTCTGAATTTTACACATACCCATACTCTTGAATTCAAGATTCTCCAAAAGAGATTCAAAAGCATAAGGAGAAAATGACCAGTTCTGTGTGGAGAAATTTGCAATACAACTTGTTATAGTTCCACGTTAAAAATGAAGTGACTGAAGTGAAATGGTTTGACAACAAAAAGCATTAAATTGTTCCTCATCCACAGGGTCTGGCTTTTAATCGATACTGGATAAATCTTGCTAAACTGATCCTAATTAACCTTTTCATATCTCATCTCCTGCCAACAGACCTACAGAATGGAAAACTTACATAAGTATTGTGGCATCAGGATCAAGGTTGTGTCTGCAGCTTTTCCAACAGATTTAAAGTTAATCTTTATGACATTTGTTTTCCTTTGTCAAAGACATAGCAAGAACCGATACTGCATTCAATCTCAAAGTACATTTGAAGTTCTTAAAAAAGTATATGCTGTGTCAAGCAGCTTCCTTTTCAAACTGTTGCAAATTTGATAACTTGTTTTAAAATAGTTGCTGATAAACTTCTTTTTAAGGAAACTTCAGTGCATCTTACATAAATATTGTCAGTACAATATTTAATCAGTCTTTGAGCTTTTCTATATATATTTTCAAAACAACATGGAATATAAACTTAGAACCTTAGTGCTCCTGATCTGTATGGGAATCAGAAGTACATGAATGGAATGCAGTGAAAGTTGAGCACATCACACTTCTAAATCAGGTTAAAGAATTGTCCCTAACAGCAACATGCAGATAACTTGGGTAGGTCAATGTACACAGAGCAGAAAACACATTTGACAAATGCAGCACAACTGAAGTGGAGCCTTAACATCAGTTTGAAAAAACAATTCAGAAACACAGACATTTTAAGACTGAAGCCATTCTCTATTAAACGTAGTTTATAAGACAGAAACCAATTTTTTTAAAAAGGCAATTATGTGTAAGGCTTTAACATCTCTTTGTTTAAGAGATCAATAATAAAATTCAGAATACAGTCATAGTTAGATGCATTACAGTCATCATTGTGCATCTTAAAATGAATGTAGGCAAGAGAAAAAATAACAAGCTACATAGTAAATCTTAAGGGTCTTTTCCAACCTAAAAGATTCTACAATTCTAAATAAATCAAGCTTTTGAGATTGGATACTGCGTTGATTACAAATCTTAACATGAAGTGTCCCTTGTAATTTGACTGGATCTCTTCCACCATATTACATTGATACTAGCAGGGGTGCAGGGGAGGCAGGGGCAGAACAACCCATTTACAATTTGGAAAGTGGAAATTTTACAGAAACTTTTGAAGAAAAAATTGCAGTGTATTGTTATTGAAAGACAAATTAACTTTGAGATGCTGTAAAAGGAAAATCATTATTTTAAATAAGATGTGTCACATTCAATTAAGTAGTTGAGGGAGACTTAATACCAGAATGTGGACTAGAGATCCAGCAGTTTATAAACTTCCACTGTTGTCTACAGACAAAAGCAGAACACCAGATTAGTAAATTCTTTCTGATCTGATATTTTTATAGGACTAGAATCTGCTGCCTAAGCCACAAATTCTGTATCTAGCCCTATCGAAGATTTTTCAACCCATATGCATATCATGTTTAAAGGCCCTTTTCCAAAAATTACTTTACATAAGTTCAGGCTAAAAATGTACACACTGCATATCAGAAAAGCTGTGATTTTTGAGTAACACACACATACACACAAATTTGGTGCAGCAATAAATGTGTGCTGGCATGAGGATGGCTCAAAAAATAGAGGTGCACAGATGTACACAAAATGTGTACAACATAAAACAGATGAAAAATAAACCCCAGCTTTTTCTTACCATATAATATTCAACATGCACATCCCCCCTACTCAGATATAAAGAGTATATACTCACAATCAAAGGAAATATACTACATGTCAGATATCATGCAACATATCTGAGGTCTGACTCAATTCCAAACTTCACTTGTGGAGCTAACGTTACACTGAAGGAGAAGATCTGACCAGCAAAATAGTCTATGGAAAATTTTACTTTTTGTGACTATAAACCTTTATTTTTTTTAATTATGTTACCCCGTGTTAACTGGCACAGATTAAGAAGCATCCGAACAGCTCTCTTAGCAGACCAGAGAGACTGTAACAAGCAACTGTTTGCAGACAGTTAAGACATATGCTTTTGTAACATATTCTTCCTTAACATTTTAAAAAACTGAAGAGCTTGGGATTCTGGCTCCAGCAACTCTTTTTGGGCTTTTCATCTTTTAAAATCATCCTACTAATGCTCTGATGCTTGCCCACAAATGGTATTCTACAATATGAATAGAGCTGAAATTTTAACTGGTTACAGAAATATGAATTTGGCTTATTATTATCAAATATGTAGGACAATTGGAGGAAAGGAATAAAACCATGGAAGCTAAAGTACAGTGAAACTAAAATCAGATTAGTTTGCTGCTAACCAGGTCAATATATAGCTCGATTAGGATACATTTCAGTCATTTAGGGCTAAGATCATATAAATAGCCTTCTTTCAAATAGCAGCAAAACAAAACCATTAATAAATTGACCAAACAACATAACCTTCTTACAGAATATCTGAAATATTAACAGTTTGGGAAGGAGAAATTTTAACATGAGCTTTACCTTGTTAAGGCAATTAAGATTGAAAACAAAACCACCACAATAGTTAACCACAGACTACCTACAGAGAAGCAGAAATTACATTTAAAGTATCTGTGATCCATAAAGAAAACTTTAGTCAAACTAGGTGCTGTCAGCATGAGATGCAGGAAAAGCTGTGTAGCATTTGAATGCATGAAAATGACAGGAAATTTTGGAGCAGTGACTTCATTTTCTCATGTGTCTGTACTGCTTACAGAACAATTAACTCTCCCACACCAACAAAAGCCTTACAAGAAAACAAATTTTTAAAATGGAGAATTTTGAAGAATATTCAAATGAAAACTTTGGCTAAATAACCTCTGTGACCTAAAAAAATTAATTGCAAGTATTTTTTGGAAGAGAAAGAAAACGTTAATTTCTGAAAAGCTAACACAATTATACATTCAACTGCCAATACGCATCCCTGGTTTCTAAAACTGTCAGAATGTACCTGCTTCCAAGAAGTATCAGCAAAGCAACAACACACAATGACCGAAGCCACTACTACTACTACAGAGATAGTAAAAAAGCAAGAGATATTCCTTAAAAGGTGGTTCTTTTAAATAAAAAAGTAAAATCAGCTTAATTTTCCTTCACATAAGGGATAGCACTGAGATCATCAAGATGAGACAACAGAGTAAAGAAATTTGTAGTCCAGTTCATGCTAAGATATTCTAAGCAAATCATATGAACATAAACAAGTCTTCTTATGAGCAATCCACCTAAAGCTCTGTTTAGCATCACTCATTTCTAACAGAGGAAAGAGTATCTGCAAGTAATGAAGTTGAGAAATAGATGACTTCAGAAATGGAGAATTGCACACATATGTGCCAATCTTTCATTAATGTAAGATTTAGGGTATAGTAAAAGACAACACATTTTATAAACTATGCAGATATATACATATTTCTCACACTTTTCTTTGCACGGTTGGAAAATACTCAACCTATTTTGTGCACAGTTTATGAAAACATGCACTTAAAAAGCCTTCTATTACTCCTATCCATACCATTGCTCAAACCATTCCAGCTTTTTTCTTTCATATAAATACAACAGTATTTTGTTTCCAATCCAGCTTAAGCATGTGATCAAACTCGTTAAGAATTAATACATCAACTGCATTACTTTCATTTGCAGTGACTAATTCTAGTAACCACAAGCTATTCAGCTACCCTAAAGCACATAAGGCTGCATAATTTACACATTTAACTAATTATTATAGATAGTATACTTTTGTGGAAAGAAGTTATCCATGTCACTACAAAAGTCAGTTATTAATCCCTTACCCTTTCTCAAATGTCACTTATATCAGCTTCTACAGATACGTACCAACTGTTTTCTGCCGTACTATGCTTCTTGCCTTCTCTGTTCCTGGAGAGCCAGTGGTTGTAGCACTGCGTTGTCTCATTGGCGCTTGTCCAGGCTGATCACGGCTCCAGCCTCTAGAAAAGGACTTATCAACGGAAGATTTTGGGAATTCATGCCCAACTCCTGCAAAAATAGAATTGCAAATCTATTCACTTCTATTCTGGTATCACCAGATATTTTGTAAAACTCAAAGACTTTTAAAGTTGGATAGAATAAATTATGTTATCAAAGCAAGCACAATTTTAAAAGCTAAATAGTTGATTACTGTTTTTTAAATACATAAACCCACTCAGCCAGTATTAACACTTAGAGAGATATTCAAACTTTTTCAGAAGTGTTGGTGCTATTAAACTATGATGATTTTCTTTTCTGACCAATCAAGTGCAAAACCACAAGAAAACTGGGTTTACAAAGGTTGTAGTCTGATAAAAATGTGTAACTATAGAAATTTTTCCTTTGCTGTTCCTAGTAGACAAGACACACAAAATCATATATTACAGACCATTAATACTGTGGGGTTTTTTCCAAATAATTTTGTGACATTTGAGGAACATGAAATAAAGATGATAAAATATTTTAACACCAAACCCAAAAGCAAAAAAATGGGATGATAGGCTCAGAGAATAAGGCTCTTTGGAAATTCACAAAAAGATACTATACTAAGATTAAGACAAGATGGAACAAAATCAGATTTGACACTTATATTGAAATAAATAAAGCTCATATGAGGAGCTATCAAAAACAACTATGTAAAAATAAAGTGATCTAAAGAATATTTGCAATGTATTTATTTATCCACATTGAATTCATATAATCCAAAACTACACTTGATAAACAATTAGAATCATTAAAAGGGCATCTTCTTGGAAAATGAGCCCCAGTATGATGTGTTCATTATTATTAGCAAATGAACAGGGCCAAAGAAATTTGGCATAATTTGTACAACATTTATTACTTCCAAAATGGAGTTAACTCTGCAACTTGCATTTAACAACAGAGGCTTTCTCTGGAACTCTGTTACTGGAGGCTAACACAAACTCTCCTCATGTGGCTTTGTATGGGTGATGCAGATGATTCAAAGTGTTTTTTAAGCATATATTCAAGTAACTATACACATCCTTATCTCACATCAGACTACTTTTTTTTTTTTTTTTTCTTAAACTGTGTCTTTTGCAAGAGAAAGAAGAAAGCTGTACAGCATAGGAAAACAAAAATGCACAGTCTGGAACAACCTCTCAGGGTCAACTACAGAGAAATGTATTTTTGTCCAGTTGTCACACACCAGAAGAAAAAAATGAAAGTGTGAATAATGCCTTTGCCCAAAATGAGAAATTTGGAAACATGTGAAATGCTTTTAGCAAAAAACAGCCTACAGGAACATCCTCTTTAGGAGAGGGAAATGGACATCCACATAGATTACTTCTCACTGATAAACCCTAGGACACTGTAGGAAGTACCTTCCCCTTCCCTCAGGTTTGACCTGAGAGAACCACATCAGTTAGAACAGAGAGACTAAAAAGTCTTTTTTCCCCCATCTTTATTATTCACCCTAAATATAATCCTGCCTCTCACTATTAGATCTCAAAGCACTTTTTAAAGGAGAACAGTATGATTACCCACATTTTACAGAAGTGGAAACAAAGACAGAAGTGATTGCTCATGGTCACATGCAGAATGTCTGTGATCTGGGAAGAGAATCCAGGTTTTGCAACTCTCAATCCAGCACTGCATCCAGGAGGAGAGACTTCCTGTCCCTTAACAATTCCAGAACTGTACCATTATAAGCAAGTAGCCACCTCCTCTCCCCGTATTATGTCCTACAGAATACTTCCTGCATTGTTTAGGAATCAGTTTAAAAACTGGTACCATTCATATAAATTATGAAAAGCTTTCTTCTCTTACATAGTCCAACAAGGTCACTTTGACAAAACGTGTCTTCATCGTACCTCAGTGATGAATTAGAACCCAAACAAAACTATGTTAATCTTACATTTCATCTTTAAACAACATTCATTGGATTTCAGGATCAATATTCCAGTTGTGCTTTCAACAGCCACTTGCTAGCTACCTAATTTTTACCAGACGTGTAATCTTTGTTACTTTCAAGAAGTTATGATTGGAACTTAACTATTTAATTGCTTTGATAAAAGGAGAAAGGCATAACCCACTACAGTGTAACACTTTAGGTTAAATTCAACACACCTTTAAGAACTACATTCCATATGGGCCTAACTATTTGCAGGACTGAATCTTTACGTGGAGATTTTGTGGTGGTTCTAAAAAGCAGCCTTATCTTAAAGAAACTGGGTTATTTCAGGTGACAGAGATGCCTAATTAGGTGTACTAAAAAGGCTAGACCAAAATTCTGCTGTGCCCAACATCTCATTCCCCCAGCTCCAATTCAAACTCTGTGTATATTGTGCTGTCTTACCTTTGCCTTTGTGTTTTTTCTGCTTCTGCTCACTTAATTTATCCAATGGCAGGTCACTGAGGTCCAGGCTGTACAAGTTTCTAGCTAATACTTTAGTTAGTGTCTCCATTGTCAGTGACCACTCAGTGGCCAGCTCTTCCCAATATGTCAGCGATGACATTACAGACAGCAAGTCATCCCAAAGTTCTCGAGAGATGTACACATTTAGATTCGCTTTGATCCAAGCTACTATAAGAGTCTAAAAGAACAAAGTGAGAAAAGTTGGGTTCCGAACATAAGACGACAACATTCAAATGTTACTGCTTAAAAAGAAGTTTCTAACTGCCACAGAAATTTCTGTGTAGTCCTGATGCTCTTTTCCTCACCAGTACTCACAGACTTTTCATCAATTATCAAGTGTTACATTAACATGAGTTTCTGATTTAGATACAGGAACAACTGGTTTGACTCATGAAAGATCTTTCGGTATCTTACAAGTTTTGCCAAAGAGTTTTGTAATACTGTTCTCAATTAGTTCTCATCACACTCGTATCTTGTGTATCCTTTTTTTTTCCTATTAAAGAATCTAGAGACTTTACAGATCTTATTTACAGAGAAGCTGCCACAACAGCACTCTGCAACTATAAACTCTGAAAGGATCTGCTACAGCTTACTGTAAGGAATAAAAAAAATCAGTTGGTTAGGCATGGGTGGCACAGAAGATTAGGTGCTGACATGAGCTAATTTTGCAATGGAAGCAGGCTAAAACTGTACACATTGCCAGTTATCCCAACTCAAATAAAGGATGGTAATTTTCTGATTTCACAGTACCCCCAAAACCATTGTCACAGTGTCATTAAGAATAGGACAGAAAGTAACAAATGCAGCCAGTTCTTTAACCCACACCATTCAAGTTATCTGTGTAACAAGATCAATGATTTGAGATGACAAACCAGCCAACAGTGGTTGTGGCATCTAATCTCTTGGTCAAAATTAAGCTGAATTAATTAAAGTGAATTTATGTTTAATTGCCTGGAAAAGAGGTCCTGCAAGCCTTCCAGCTAAAGTGGAGTTTTTTCTTCCTTGATACTGCAAGAAAGTTTGGGGTGGTATTTTCAGCACAGATTCAGTGACCCTGAGCAGCACAAGTAGCATCTGTTCCCTGCAAAACAGTATTAAACTTGGAGTTACCATTTTGTTACACTTCTGTGTATACCAGTATACTTTTAAAGACAGTAACCAAGCTTGACTTGCTCAAACACATTCCAAACAGGACATAGTGATTACAAGCAGCCTAACTTGGTTCTTGCAAAAGAAATTACTCCAATGTTCTTTTCACACTCAAGAGTGACAAACCCCTGTCCCCATCTAACATCTTCTGCCACATCATTCAAGTGCTATCACCTTCAATGGCCTGAAATTACAGGAAAAGTTTTAATTGTATTTCCAAACTGAGCTTTGCTTTTTTTTTTTAATCAATGACAGGTTTTGGCATTATATTATCATTAACATACTTCATCAATTATTTTGTGTGGCACAATCTTTGCCATCACAGTCTAGAGTCACTTCTTTACAGTGATGTGAAACTGGGGAAGAAAATACTAATCCAGTGGAATCTGTTTTCTATTATTACTCCCAAATTTCCCAGGGGCTACCCTTGAACTGACTCCTTACTTCCTCATAAGAGGAGACAAGCTTCGTATGACATGTAATGCCAGCTCTACTTACCCAGAGTTCAGTAAATACCAGTGACAGACTGAATGCAAGTCAAGTTAAAATGGAGTAAATCAGCCATTTGAAATCCCCTTGCTACTGGTTCCTTGCAATGGAGAATAGTGGCAATATACTACCGCATTAGAGACAGCTATTTAAAGGAGAGGGGGAAATAATAGAAACTAATTTGAAAGCGGGTCCCTTGTACCTGCTAGGCACCTTAAGCACTGGAAAGGAACAAAACAGTTAAACAGTACACGGACTCTGGTACACAATTACAGATCAAGAGCAACCCACACCTGATTATAATAGGTATCCATGCTTATCTGAGGATTTTTTTTTATTTTTAAATAAGGCTGTGAAGCTTCATATGTTTTCATATTTAGCACTTTGACACAAGAGCAAAATGCCCTGGAAAAAAGTCATCAGTAGCTCCTTAATAGTAGTCTGTATCCTAGCTTACTTCTTTTTTCACTGAGGGCTAAACTGCCTCAAACTAACTAGGTGCTTACTACTAGCTTTAACAGAGCAGACAACCTCTTCCCCTGTGGTAAGTTGTCTGTGATACTGAAGTCCATGTATTTACTGATTTAGAGAAACTGGTTCACATAGTCAATACCACTCTGCTGTGTTTACTACCAAGTAAATTTTCACATTTATCTTGTGAACTAATAATCTAAAATAAAAGCATTGCATTTTACCACGTCTTCTTGTCCATAGTCACTTGGACTACCATGTGACGGTAGATATTAAGAATGCGTTTACACATATCAGTGTGTTCATCCAGCAGAGCTTTTATTTCATTTGCAGGTTCAAGAAAGAATATATTTGAAGAATTTATTATAAAAACCTGTAAGTAGAAAAGAGTGGATGTTATGAGCTTGAAGCACTTTGATGTTTTCAGCAATTCAGTTGATAGCAACCAAAAAGAGAAAATCTATGATTAACAGAAAAGGCTGCATATGCACTGAAAAGTATATACAGATATATATACATACACAAATAGATACAAATTAGCTTGATGTGATGATAAAGGAATAATAAGACTGATTTTTTTTCCCATTTTTTTCTACAAAACTTATTTGTATATTTTTGCTCTCATAGACAGATGGTACAAACTACTCAATACAATTATTTTAATATGATGGACAAAAATGTCCTAGTAAAGAAGTCCACTGCACAAAAGTTCCACCTGTAAGCCAGCAACTGACCAGTATAATATATGCTAAACTACTTGAAATAGTCCTGGTACACAGTATGTGCTTCAGCATGACAAGGCTTGTATTATGTTCTGGGAAACTAAAGCATTCATGCCACTGTGATCAGTAAGGCTTACCCAAAGTAGGAAACGGGATACCTTCTCCAAAGTGGTTGACTTCAGTGGACAGTGAATTAGGGTTTTCAGAATGAAAACGATGAAAACAAAGTAGGCAAGGACACTGGAGGAGTTACAAGAGCTACTACTGAACTGTTGTGATATTTTTGTGTAAGTTTAGGAACTATCTGAATCACGGAGAGCCCTAGATTTCCAATTAATTTTTATTTGTCTTTCTTAATCCACATGTACAGGAAATCATTGGTTCTACAGCTGTAATTTCACTCTACTGAGAGCTTTGGATTTTAATAATTAAAAACTATTAGCATGCAGCTTTACATTCACTAGCCTCAACTAATAAACCTACCCTACTCCAAGTGCCTAAAAATAAGTCTATGCAATAATTAAATGGGAAGAAAACTCAAGACAGAAGTCTTGGATTCTTGATTCACAGAAAAAGCTAAAAGTGGTTCCAGGTCAAGAAACCTCTCAAATTCAGACATCGTACTAGGTTAGAATGATATCTTGACTCCATTTTTGGCTAAAAAAGATATTTGCTGGTCAAATGAACTTTTGTCTAAAAAACTTCAACATGAAGAATCTCCTAGGCATTCTCAGATGTGTAAACCTTAGTAATACCTTGCAAACAGAAAAAGATACTTCACTGTTTCTTTTCTCAGAAACACTTCATAATTGAAATAGTCATTGTATGCAAAGATTATGAAGCTTAAATTATTGTAACATATTTGAATTTAAAAGTTATTTCAGTTACAAAGTTTATTTCTAAATATAACAGTGTGCAGCACAATAGGAAACCCTATTCAGGAAATCATTCAAGCTGTGGTAAAAATAATGAGTTCTAATTAGCATGGTCACCCATGGTAAAAGTACACACGGTGGAGTGGCAAATGTTATTCTAACACTATTTATCATCATACTTTTTAAATCTAAAATAGCTTACAAAATTCAGAGATGATTTGAAGGAGCATGGGTTTCCCTTGCAGGAGTATTGCACTATATTCCACTCTTTATGTACTGATAACAAGAGCTTTATTATTAGGATATCAAGTCTATTTCATACCTGCAATACTGACTGGACTCCAGCTCGTACATTTTGCTCTTCAGTATCAATTTCAGACAATTTATGCAAAGTGTCTTCGTAACAGCCATTTCTTGTCCAGTTTGAATTTCTAACATGACTGGAGTTCGTCCCTTTTTCCTGAAAAATATTTTTTTCTTAAAATCCCATAGATTTGTAGACAGGTATTTTGGGTTTATATTAAAGGGAAAAGGATATCATAGATATTAAATAATAAACAATGGTAGACAGATGTTTAAGATGCATCTTAAAGACAAAACTATATTTTAAGAAGTTTGTAACAATTAGTTTGAAGTATCTGGATGAAATAACCACTATTTTTGTCATCCTTTTACTTTTCTATAGTTTTTACACAGCTGAAGGTTGGCATACTGTGTAATCCACATCTTGAGAATAGTTGATAAAACTGTATGAAATTTTAAATTGAACTAACCACATTAAAGATGTTCAGATGGATCAAATTGGTAGCCCATTCACGCACTGTTTAATTACCATTGATTCTCCCCAACAGATGCTCTGACATCAAATTAAACTACATATAATCTGTCAAGGTAGCCACTTCTCTGTCTACTGGCATATCCAAAAGATGCACAAATATTAACCAACCATATTTTACCTCTTCTCTTTCTTTTGCTTTCTCTGATGAATTGTGGTCAACAACACTTTCATCACAATCTACAGTTGTGCACTGCATGATTTCTTCAGGTTCCTTCATAAATAAAGGCTTGTCTTCTTGCTGAATCCATTCCTGATACACCTTTACCACTTTCCTCATGGCAGCTGCTTCACATATTGGCAACAAAAAAGCCTGTGAGAAGAAAAAGAAACAAAAAACCAGTCACAGTACTCGAAACCAAGTTGGGCTCTATAATGTACAGGTTCTAAGGGATAAAGTGGGGGCGAAGGGGGGAAATACAGCCACTGTAGGGTCTTAACAAATAAATTACTCCTGAACCCAAATGTTTGCTCACTTTCTTCATCCGTAAACTAAAAACATGAAAAACATGTTTTAACAAGAAAACTTGGCAAGAAAGTACTTTGAAAACTTCACTGTCAAAGAGAGAGATACAAGAATCCATGCAGGCATATCTACTTGGCACATAGCCTGCTGAAATTAAGGCCCAAACACTCATCAGAAGTATGCAAAACAAATGAGCAGAAGTTTCTATTACAACATCTTCCATTCAGAGGACTCAGAAGAGTGGAGTTAAATCAGTTCTAAATGACTAACAAAAATTCAAGTGACATACATTACGGATAGCCATGTATATTATTTTTAGCTAAATGAGATGTTACAAAACAGTATCCTTAAAACAAATGACTCCCTGAAAAGACTTCAGAATTATTGTTTCAAAAAATTGTGCATTTGAGGCAGTGTGATGGCTGATTAGTGCCCTCTTCAGGAGATTTTCTGTATCTGCTGTGCTGGTAACAACTACTCACAGATCAGAAACTTTTAACATTAGTCAGGTTTTAACTACTATAAATACATTTACCAAAGACCATGATGCCCTAAACTGTATTAAAAAAAGAACAGATAAACTACACTAACACATAGTTTTATGGAGTCCATGGTGTGAATGTCGAAAACTCATTGCCCTTGTCTTTAAGGAGTGCCCACTTGACACAAGCAGTACTTTGTCTCCCTGGAAGTGGACATTTCATACTAGTATCAGACTAAAAAGAATTCTGCTGTGTATTACAGGATTCAACTGACAAGTTCATCAGTCACACACTATCACTCATCAAGTCTAACAGTCTTCTGCAAGCCCATATACACTTTTTGTACCCTGGAGTCTAAAATACATTCACCTTTTTTTCTACAGACAATCTTCCCACCATTCAGTGCAACTGAAACCTCCTCTTGACTGGAATAACTTAGCGCTAATGTTTTAGAAACATTACAAACATCTGGCACATTAGAAATGAACTTACACTGAAAACTTCCGGCTAAACAATGACTTAAATGAGATCTCATAACCACACATGAAATCCAAATAATCTACATAACTCATGGAGTGCCTTGTGAAAAGAATGAAGAAAATTGCCTTTGCTGTTCCTTTCACTGGGGGGGGGCAGTTTCTAATAATTTAGACTCTACATTCAATGTCTCCAACTCTGTAAACCCTTGAACGGCAGCTGAATTTAGGTAACTCTGTTATCTCCTTCAG